TCCCCACTAAACGGCGTGCATGGGATGATTGACTCGAACCCGGAGGCACTAACCAAGCATCTATGCAAGAAAATTGAGCCACTTTCGCTTGCCTATCTGCATTACTTGCGCGGCGACATGGTCAACCAGCAGATTGGTGACGTTGTGGCGTGGGTTCGTGGAAGTTACAGCGGTGTAAAAATATCCAACTTGCGCTACGATTTCGAAGAGGCAGACCAGCAAATACGGGAAGGAAAAGTCGACGCCGTGGCTTTTGGCGCCAAGTTCATTGCGAACCCCGATCTCGTTGAAAGGGCCCAACACAACTGGCCCCTCAACGAGCCGCGACCAGAAACATACTACACAAGAACAGCAGTCGGATACAACGATTACCCGACGTACAACAAATAACACGGATACCTCTACTCTCATTATATTTGTCTTTTTTATCAAAATAAGCACGGATTAGCAAAAATGATTCAAACGTTCAACAACACGGGGGAAAACAAAGCAAATTTAACCTGTTTAAAAATATCAGTGGGAAAATGCAAACAATGACTTGCATTATTTGTCAGTTTTGACTGCACCGTAATTACCCAGCACACTTCGCGGGACTCAGCATCCCCATGCACCCCACTCCCTCCGTGTCGCCGCGGGTACCTCGTGTGCACGGCTGCGGACGATGAGCACCCAAAACCGATCAATTAACAGCAACATCTGAGCACATGCCGTGACGCAAATCGTGTTGCTGACGCAGAGTGCCGTCCCATGGCGACACGCGAGTGTTTGTGTGTGTGTGTGTTTGTTTGTGTGTGCGTATGTGTGTGTGTGGGTGGGGGAATGAAAGCGCTGTTTATTTATTACTTTCTGCTTGTCAGTCTGGGATTGGAAGGACCACATTGGAGTTGTGTCCTGGACCCGCTGCGTTGTCCTTGCTGCACACTCACGTGGTCCGAGAGTGGTTTTGCCTGTGCTGCTGGAATGCCTCGGCCGTGTTGCCTGCTGCTTATTTATTTATTTTTATTTTGTCTCATCTTGCTTGTTTCACAAGCGCCCACACTAGTGGAGAAGGGACTTTAGCCATGGAGCGGACTTCTCAGCCAGGTGCCGTGGGCCATCTTGGTGCGTCCCGAGACTGAGCGTCACCGAGTCTCTGCCGAAGTGATGACAACAACCGACTGGAGTCTCTGAGCTTCACTGAATGACAGCAATCGTGTTGGAGAATACTCTTCTTTCCCCGGCTGACGGCGTCCCTGTGGCGGCGGTGTGCGTGTGTGCGCACGCCCCGCCTTTCCACTTTCTCTCCCCCTTTACTTCCTCCGCTGCCGTGCGAGTGATGGCGGCCCATCCGCCGTTGCGGCGCACTGACACGGGTCGATGACGACAAACCACTTACGACGGTCTTATGACAATCACCCGAAAATGGATTGAACACAAGTGTCTTCACGAGATTTGGGGCGCCGCACATTATTCCAGCCGCGCGTGCCCTGTGACCGAGGCCCCACGTCCACGCCCTCCTCATGTTTTGCATTCGCGTTTGTTTTTCTTTTCCTCCTTGTCTTTGCTGCTGCCTCTCCACGCGTTGATGAATTTGTCGAATCCGTGTTTCAGCTGAGCGACGATGCTGATACATGCACGCTTTGTCTGTTTGACTTCTGAGCGGGGACTTCACGGGAGGTGTGTCGGAGTGGTGCCATGCCTGTGTGCCAGTGATGGAAATTTGTTGATGTTCCAAGCAAGCTCGGACGCGATCAATGACGATCTATTCAACGCATTATCACCTTTCGGGTCTGATGGCTGCCGGATCTTTTTCCTAACCCTCTCCCCTTTTTGCTATTTTTTTTTTTTTTTGCCTAATGCAACGCGAGGCTGCTTGTGATGCAGAAGATGTTCAATTGCACCGATTTTGCGTGAGGACAGCCTAACACAGACCTGCACTGAGATTATCGTCAACTCCTCCCCTCATTCCAGCCACCTGCTGCAGGATTCAGATTTGCCGCGAATGTGATGACAGAGTTTCCGACGCCATGTGGCGTGACGAAAACGATGCGTGCCGAGACATCCGTGAACTCAATCTTTCGCTCCGACCTGATGCATAGCGGCGTGCGAGCTGGGACCTCGCCTGTTGCCTACCGCCCGCCCAGCACACTTCGCGGGACTCAGCATCCCCATGCACCCCACTCCCTCCGTGTCGCCGCGGGTACCTCGTGTGCACGGCTGCGGACGATGAGCACCCAAAACCGATCAATTAACAGCAACATCTGAGTACATGCCGTGACGCGAATCGTGTTGCTGACGCAGAGTGCCGTCCCATGGCGACACGCGAGTGTTTGTGTGTGTGTGTGTGTGTTTGTTTGTGTGTGCGTATGTTTGTGTGTGGGTGGGGGAATGAAAGCGCTGTTTATAGTTTGACGGTGGCGTTTTTTTTTTTGTTTTGTTTCTTTTCTTTGTATATGCTAGTTTGGCTTTCTTAGTGAATTAGTTAAATATATTTACAAATTTTGTTTGTGTGCCCGTTGTGTACGCCTATTGTTCTTTTCGGAGATCATGAGCGGTACGTGCGGCGGCGCAAATGGTGTTGTGGAGGAATTGGAGGTTTTGTTAGAGGGTGATGCCTTGCCACACCGGGAGCCTTTTGTGCGTAGGGGCCGTCCTCCTTCAAAAAGGAAACCCAAACGTTGCGAAATGATGCCTGAATTTGGTACTGTTACCACAGCTGTTGTCGATGGGTTGGAGGGAACTTTGTCTGCTCCAATTGATGATGATGGCGTCTTCACGATGCGTTCACGTTTTCGAAAGGATGCGGAGATGGACAAGCAGAAACATTTGATTGCTAACGCTGGGCTGGTGGCACAAACATTGACAACAGATTCATTACCCCCCGTGGGTGCTGTTGCCCCTGTAAAGAAGGAAATGGAGAGGTCCTCGTTTTATATTTCTGGGGAGGAGGCTGGAATTGGCTTGCAAGCTTCAGGATTTTGCATGGAGAAGACCAAGAAAGAGGCCTCTTTTTCTCCCCTCACCGAACCGACGCCCTGGAATCAACCAGCTTTTGAGGAGTTCAGGAATGATTACGATGCTGTTGATGCTGGTTGTTTTTTTCATTCAAAGTATTGTTTCAACGATGCCACTAGGCCAACCCGTAGTCCGGAGTCCTTACGTTTGCAGCGGCATCTCCATTCACCAGCGCTGTATGATGAAACAGCTGATATCTTTGAAGATGTGGATGATTTTATTCCGGGAAGTCCTCTTAAACGTGACCTTTGTTTGCCTGCGCCGCAATATGCTCGGCACCCGCCAAAGTCAAGCAAGAGGCAGGTGAGGCTCTGTGCCTTCTCGAGCATTCTCATTCCGAGCAGCTCGCTTCCTGGGACCACAGTGGATGACACCGTTGATTCCTCTTTGGTGACGTACGGTTCACCAGTTGCCGTACGACGGGATGATAACAGTCTTCTTCCCAACCATTCAACGGCGGCTTTTCACGACGAAGGTGCAACTAAGGAGCCAAAAAAATTGCCTTCAGAGTCGATCCCTTCCAAGCACTTGGGTCCTTTGGGGCTCTATCCATTTTTTTCGTCTTCAGGCACGCATTCTTTTTTTTGGGATGCGCATGGGTATTATGGAGGCTTTTTTGAAGCATAAAAAACGGGTGCGGGGAGGAGACTGAGTAAATGTATAGAAGGACTCGCTGTAAATTGGCCAAATGATGACATGCTTGTTGTGAAGGGGATGCTAATCGTGGGGAACTTTAATTATATACATGTATATATATCATTCTGCTATGGTTATAGGGCAGAGTCAGGATAAAAACGCAATAATTTATGAAACATTGGGTGAAGGAGATCATCTGCGTGTTATTTGCGCAAGTCCTCAAAGTGAGCTTCAACAGTGGCGTGCAAGAAAGGGTATATGAAAAGTAACGATAAATGAAAGTTTCAATTATTATTATTATTATTATTATTTTGTAGCCGTGGAAAAACAAATCAAACTGGATTCTCTCTTTTTTTTTTTTTTTTTTTTTTTCTTTTTTTTCCTTTTTTTGCGTTGAAGGGAAAAAGAAACAAGAAAATGCCCAATGTTTTGGGTGGAGTGAGTGATTGGGGTACCAATTGAAATATGAATGCTGGTGGGGATATCTTGTCATGCATCAATACTGCGTCTGATGGGTGATTTGTATATAATAATGAGTGCAACAGTCTGATGACTTGTGCTGGTTTTATTATTCAGTTTTCTTTGAATGCATATGGACTGGAAGAATTTGATGGTTTTTGAATTTATTGTGATAACTCCTTTCTTTCTTTTATATATTGGCTTTGCTTTTAATGCCATGGATGGGGGCCTTTGGAAAGGAAAAGGCTGACAAACTGCCTTGAAAGTTTTTCTTTTTTTATATTTTTTGTAGGTTTTTTTTATTATGGTTATTATTATATAATATATATTGTTTTTGTTTTTGTCGGCTTTAGTGTTATTATTATTATTATTTGGCTTTTGTGTCTTTTTTTTTTTGTGAGTTCCTTTTGTAAAGGATTCTTGGAGAAACATGCGTTTTCCGCCTTCATCCAGCACACCTGTGTACCTGTTTTATGCGATGCTTTTATGGTGTTGGGTTTCTACGGGATTTCCTTTTTTTTTTGTTTGTTGTCTTTTTTGCTTACCTGATGTGTCTGCGTTCTTTTTTTCTACACAGGAAGTGTTCCGGTTAGAATACTGTCGGGCCCGCTCTTCTCCTGTTCTCCCCGCTCTTTTCTTCCGCGTCATTACTGGGGGTGAGAGTAGCGTCTATCATGTCTGCGCATCGCTGTTCTGGTGACATTGTAATCATTGGGTCCCGCGTCTTTTTCTGCCCACAGAACGAGGAGCTATCGTACTTGGAGTGGGAAGCAGAGAAACAACGTTTTGTTTTGGTGCAACGGGATGATTGTGACGTGGCGCCACTTTTTGCCTCTGAGCAAACTGCCTCGGGTGAATTGGAGTATGGGGCAGTGAGGATTCCATGCTGCGCTCTGTACGGCGTTATACCTCTTAGGGCCACATCCATATTGTTGTATGTTAATCAGCAAGAACATGTGGCGACATTGCCTTTTTCTGCGTCACACGAGGTGTTTGCCGTAAAGCGATTTGCATGGATGCGACTGCCATCACCAAAGACTGGCTCACCAGTTTATGATGGATTGAAAGAGGATGACGGAGGTCAAAATGGCTCTTATCAGGATCTTTCGGAGGATATTCTGGGTAAATATTGTGCGTTAATTGATCGATTCTGCACAGAGTCACAGCAACATTCAGGGGGTTCGTATTTTTTTTATTCCCCGACAATCAATTTGGCGCTGGATCCATGTGCTCTAGCCGAAGGCTCGACGAAAAAGCGTTTTGGGGCTTCTTTTTCAGGGAATAATGTTGACGGCCCTAAAAATACCCGTCCCAGATTGGATGACGTTGGTGAGCACTCGTTACTTGCTTTTCAATGGAATACCCCATTACTCCAAGCATTCACGCCATTGGAGGTGTATTCTGGTGGTATATTCTTGTACGTGCCGTTGTTTATTAGGGGTCTTGTTTCCATGTCTTCTGCACCTTCGGACGGCGTCCAGTTGTTGCTTATTAATCGACTTAGCTACCGTTGGGCCGGCACCCGCTACAACCGACGTGGACTGGATTTAGAGGGCAGTGGCATTTGTGCTAATTTTTCGACGTCGACCCTGTGGGTTTTTTCAGCAGAGGCAGAAGAGCAAGAAAAAGATGCGTCAGTTGCATCTCTTAATGGGGAGAAACGGATGGCGTCCTACCAAATTATTCGAGGGTCCATTCCACTTCACTGGAGTCAAAGAGCGAATTTGGCCTTTACTCCAGAGGTTAGTATTTCATCACCAGCACGTGCGGTAACTGAACTCATTTCCCATCTGAAATTATTGAATAAGCTTCTTCGGGGTATCTCAACGTTGCACTTCATTGATACAACATCTCTCAGTGAAGTGGAGCGGCCGCTTTCGGAGGCTTTCGGGGCAGCGATTACGAAGTTTTGTGAGTCTGATTTAAGGCATGATATTCCCTATGATGTTCATTATACCAAGTATGATTTTAAGGACAGGATGAGAAGGAACTTATCCTATGACGAGATCAGTAAAGGTTTAAATGAACTTGCCAGTGGTTGTGTGAATGGTGAGGTAAAACGTTTGGACTTTACGCAGTGGTGCAGAAAACCCATGAGTAAAGAGGACGGTTGTTTAGATGTCGGGGAAGATGACACACGTTACTTTTTTTGGAATAAAATACACCAACAGAAGCACTATGTACGTGTGAATTGCCTGGACTGTCTGGACCGGACAAATCTCGTTCAATCCATGATTGTGGTTAATGTGCTTCCGCGCATGATTTGCTATGTGCGTGGAGAGAAGTCTATGGCTAATAATTGCCACAATGAGAACGATGCTGCGACAGAAGATAGTGATACAGAAGAAGAAAAATATGATGAATCCATAAGACTGTGCAAGGAACTTTGGGCCCAACAGGGTATAGCACTTTCTGAGCTGTATGCTGGGAGTGAACCTCATTTTCTTAGATTTCTTTTAAAGGGCAGCTTGGGACCATTTGGAAAGCAACAGGAAGCCATTCTTGCATCACGTCGTTGGCTTCAGCAGAATTTTTACGATGGTGACAAACAAGATATTATTTCCATAGTTACTCGTCAACACGATCCGGCTCTTGCACAATCCGAATTTGAAAGACGCTTTCTACGACCCTTTTCTTTTTTGAACAAAATGGTGGTGTTGGGACTTTTTGTCGCGATGTTTGCTCTTGGGGTTAATCTAATTGTTACCCTTTTTGTACCACGGGATCGTATTTCAACTGGCCCTGTATTATATTCAATTGCCTGGGTGATTTACATAGGTGTTTTGATCTTTTTTATTATGCGTGATGGTGTTAGCTACACCAACAGTCCACTATTTAGGTGAATAGTGATCAGGTGTTTGGTGTAAGGAAGATTATCTTTGAATTTGTTGGGTGGTGGTGGTGGCGGCGTTGGGAGTGATGAACGGGTCAGTTGGTAGGGGGAAATGGAAATTCGCTCATTGCGGCCTGCAGCGTGAGCAGTCACGGTTCTTCTTTGGCTCCACTTGTCACGAAACAAGAAATTGAGGGGTGAAGAAGAAGAAGAAGGGGTGGAATTGAGCACGGCTGACCATGTGGCAGAAGTTTTTGGCGCGTTGAAATGGAAAATTACGGACAGTGCCATTTCTGCACGCATCTTCATTCTTTTTTTTTTTTTTTCCATTTCTTTTCTTCCTCCCCCTCCCTTTTATTTGCTGACAAATTTTTTCTTGCTTATTGTTGACGCTGCGACTCCTTTTTTTCTTTCTCTCTTTCTCTTTCTCTTTCTTTCTTTTTTTTTTTTTTTTTTTTGTGGATTCAGGGAAAATTTAACGGGTGTTTTTTTATTTATCAGCATTATTATTCCCTCTGTGGTGTGTCTTCCCTCCCGTTTCCGGCCTTATTCGCAGCGCCTTTTGGGACGAACTTCTTTGATTTGTTCCATTTTCTTCGGGCCTTGCGTGGGGCGCCACAGAAATTTTTGTGCATGTCTGTTGTTGTTGTTGTTGTTTTCTTCTCCCTTTTGTGTGTGTGTTTGTGTACGGGGGTTGTGTAGCTACTTTTGTTATTTTTGGGTTCTTGTTTGAATGTACTGCCAGAAATTATGTGAGTGCTTTCTATTTTATTTTATTTATTTATTTTTTGTTTTTTGGAGGGAGGGGGAGAGGGGCTCTGCGTCTGTGTTTTGTGCCGTGGCCTTTCTGTATTTATTTGCAAGGGCTGCTCGTGGGAGAAATATGATTCCACGGGAACGACGGGTCTCATGCCTGGGCCGGGATATGAGGCTTAAGTTTTGTTGGCTTCTACTGCTGATCATCGTTTTTTACGTTTTGACGTTTGAATTTGTCTTGTTTTTGCCCCCAGTGGCGCCGCGGGCCCGATTGGTGCCGTGGAGATCTTTTGACTCATTGGCGATGGCACCACGAAAGAAGCGCGACACGGCGATGTACCACCACTTTCCGGTTCCGTTGTCCTTCACCACGTCTTTGGATTCTTCAATAGAAACATTGGACCGTCAATGGTGCGCCGCCGTACGGATGGTCTTGAGGCGCGCCAATGCCGTTTACTGTTCCCATGGCGCCTTCCCTCAGTGCGTCGTGGGTCGAGCCTGCAGCACACTTACGGATAAAAAAACGGACGTGAACGCATCGGAAGTTGCATTGAGAAGAGAATACGACAACGCTAAAGGAGGCGTGGCAAATCCCTGGATAATCGTCAAACATAAAGGCATTTCTCCTATTAATCTGGTGCATCAAGGAAATGCATTGCTTTCAGCACTTGGTCTTGCGCATTTGGTGATTCGCATCGAACGTGATATTCATGCGTGTCGCCTACCCTCACCAGATGCAATATTGGCCGCATGTAAAACGTCGAATGCCACAAATCCAAATGAACTTGCTGAGCGGGCAGTTCTAGTGGAGTTCTCAACGGGGAATGCCAATCTTCTTTTTACTTTTTGCCCGCCGGATCCCTTGCGCCGATTGCGCTGCTATGGTGTGGAAAAAGACCCCATTTTATCTTCTGATGCAAAGTCTTATCAAAAGCATATAAGTATCGAAAATGGTGATGTTTCGCCGCTAAGAGATGGATCGGCAACCCACGTGCTGCTTAATGGTATCTTACATGTTCTTCCTATCGAGGAGTCCTGCGCGTTGATTCGTGAGGGTTTGCGTCTTTTGATGCCAAAAGGAATTCTTCTAGTGGTGATGTTGTCTGTCGGCACCTCCAGGTCACGGCCAACGGGATATCATCCATTTTTCTTTAACGATACGGCGGTAAAGCCGAATGCTTTAAATACTTCTTATGCATCGAGCACATTGCGGTGCTGCAGTACTATTACGAAGGATGACTACAATCAGCTTGTAGAAAAGGTTGAGTTCCTGTGGCATGCGCCCGAGTTTATTTTTTACACACCGGACTTTAAGCGGACTGGTGTGTACGCTGTGCGTCTAACACGATCTAAAAAGATGATGCCACCTCTGCCAGGTAAGGAACGACGGACCGCAACACCGGAAGAAGAGGAACCTGCATTATACAAGGATATCTGCACGAATCCACGGGAGTTAAGCCGCGTTAAGGACGCACAGGCACTCTGGAGAGAACGTTTAATTGAGATGCAGAGTGCCGGTTTTGGCAAGAAGCTTAGGAGAGGGTATGACGTATGGGTGAGGAAACGAGTTTAGAAAAACTTTTCCTTTATATTTATTTATTTATTTTTGTATGAGCTTAGCGCGGAGATAAAGAAGAAAAGGAATTTGCATGAGGGTGGAATAGCCAACGAATAACGACTTCTACGCCGACTTAACGCTTCTCTCCATAATCCGTCTATTTACTTATTTGTCTTTTTTTTTTTTTTTTACACCATTATTTATTTATTGATTTACTTATTTATTTTGCGTATTTTATTTTATTTAATTTATTTACGTGTCTGTGTGAGTGAATCTCGAATATCGTACGTAGTTATTATTATTGTTATTGTTATTATTTTCGGTGCTGTTATTAAATTTTTTTTCTTTTTTTTTACTGACGAGGGCGAGAGGCAAGACACTGACGGAGAAACGAACGCTTTGGTATTGTTTTTGGCGTGTGCATTGCTCTGCAGTTGAGCTCTTGCTTTTTTACAAGGATAACTTGTGTGCCTTTTTTTTGTAGAGGTGTATTTCTGTTTGTGCGTGTAGCGGTCCGTCGTTCTTCTTCCGTTGTGATGCGTCCGCACGGTGGTGGTTCATTGCAGAGGGGAGAGGGGAGGGAAGGAGAGCAGCGTGTTTTTCTGTTGAATTTATTTATTTATTAATTTACATTTCAGTTGTGTCTGCTGCTTTTCCCCCTTTATTATTATTATTATTTTTCTTTTATTTATTTACGAAACAGAAAAGGGGTTTAAAAATATAAAATAGAAAAAATAGAAGAAAAAAAAAAGGAAAAAGTCGCTGTGCGTTACGTGCAGAAATACACACGCCCGTAGAGAGAGAGAGAAAAAGGGATACACGAGGCGTTGCACTCTTTTTCACTCAGTGGGCCGACTTAGGGAGGAAAAGAAGAATTTATTTATTAATTTATTTATTATTTTTATTTATTTTAGAGCGGGTGATTTATTTTGCCCGCATTTACAGACACAAACGTCCTTTCGCATTCTTCACCTCCCCATTAGTACCTGCTGAAGTGGCAACTGAGGCCGAGCTACGAACGGACAGTCAGCAGGGGGAAACGCGGGAAATCTCACGGATTGGCATATTTGAAATCATGTCGTGGTCCACACGCTGCTTTTACGGGCCGCTTCACGAGGTGGCCGACCCTCTTGTTTTGCGACGTGTGATGATGCGATTTTGGAGCCCGTTCTGCCGTGGGTTTGTTGGGCCGGATCTCCACACATACGACTTTAAGAAAGTTTTTGACAGCATTCGAACCAGTGATAGTGACTTTACGTGTCAGGTAAACGGCCGAGTGGGTAACGCCAGACTGATTGAGGATTTCTTTCTTTTTGTCCTTTGTGGTTTTGACTTTCTTGATGTGAAGTTGGAGAAATCATCCACGGCGGATGTGGCAAGTGACCCGTGCAATTTCAGGGGCACCTACACGCTGGCGCACACTCGGCCATTCTTGGGATGGATCCCTCCACGCGCGGCACACAGCCTGGGGACAGCACCAACTGACAGTAAGCCTGATGTATGCAAAGATAAAAATGTCGACGCCTCCGGGAGCGCAGAACAAACCTCTGAGGAAAAGTTGATGGTTTCTTCAACAAGATTAAGTGTGGAGCGGCAGACGCGTCTGCTGAAGGTTCCATTTTCAGCTCGAATGGAGGGGTCTGAAAGCGGTATCTCTCACATTATCCTTCGTTCTCCCGTGGTCGATGTGATCATGGGCAGTCACGATTGCCCTGCCACCCTGCAGAGTTGTCTTAAAAATGAAGAAGCACTTAAGGCTGTTGTTACTCTCCGTCGCGCAAATGTGCGACCGGAGCTGATCACTGACAAGACACTACTTGAAATCACCGACAAAAAGGAATCCTGGGCCTCCGCGTTAGGCATTCTCTAGTCAATGCCGTTGGCATGCAAAAAGTGATGGGTAATAATAACAAAAAAAAAAAAAAAAAAAAAAAACAAGAAGTAAAGATGAGAAAGTGGGATTGACACACATAAAACCCCCTTTTTTTTTTAAATGTTTTTCGATCCTTTCGACCTGCGAAGGGAACGATTGGACCGTGGGATGTGAACTTGATGGCGATAACACAGGAAACCAACTATGGTGTGCTTTCTGTTTATGGGTGGGTGGGGAGGTAAAGGCTTTCTTGCTGATGCACGAACGATAGACGGTCTTAATACATATATATATATATATATATATATATATATATATATATATATATATATATATATATACTGTGTAAAGCCGAAGAAAAGAGGCTTTAGTTTTTTTATTTTATTTTTTGTATCGAAATTGGGAGAGGATGTGAGAGACTTTTTTTGGTTTGGATGGCCCTTGCAGTTGGCGTCTATACGCCGTCATCAGCATTGCGCCCTTCCATCTGTTGCTTTTTAGTTTGTTTTTCTAACCAGTTTACGGTGACGTCTCCAGTTTTTTTTTTTTTTTTTTTGTGCGGAAAAGTGTGAGGGAATAAGTCATGGGATGCATGTGCTGACGAGGGAGTAAGGGTGGTGTTGGGGGAGGAAGCAGGACCTCGAGGAATGCTTTTCACAAGCACAACGGAAGGGGCGAAATGGACGACTGTTTGCTGAGTTCTTTGGTCATTTCTGCAGCAGAGAACTTCACTCTCTTTTTTGCTTTTGGTTCAGCTGCACTCATTTCCACTTACGCCGGTTATGGAGGCGTCAAAGGGGATGTAATGCGTTCTCCCTCCCTCCCTCCCACCCACCCGTCCAGAAAAAAAAAAAAAAAAAAGCAGAATGAGTAGTAATTTTCGTTGCTAATGATGAGTCTTTTTTTTTCGTTTGGGGGGTTTTCAACTCTCCGTCTCTTCGGATGTACGTCCCTTATTTCAGTTTCTTCCCGCTATTTTTTTTTTTTTTTTTTGTGTGTGTGTGAGTGCGTGTTTTTTGTTATTTTGTTATTTTGTTATTTTCTTATTTTTTGTTTGTTGTTCTTTTTTACGTGTTCTCGCACCTCAACACTATCCCCACTTCCCCCCCCGCAGTCATCGAAGGACGAAAAAACGAACTGTTTGTTAAATTTATCTTTTTTCTTTTTTGTTTTTACAGTCAATTTTCCGCCGCATTACGAGCGCTGAGAGGGAGGGGAGGCTGAACGTGGGGTGGGGGGCGGCGGGTCTCTTTTTTTCTCTCTCCCCTCGTCAAAACAACAACAGAGAGAGAGAGGGAGGGAGAGGGAGAAAGAGAGTGGAATAAATATGAGAAGGAGAAGAGAGGAGAGGGGGGAAAGAAAGGAAGAGCAGCTGTTTTACCCCCCACGGTGCATTTGTTCCTTCCATTTCCTTCCTTTTCTGACTGATTTGATTCGTTGCTGAGTTCTCCTTTTTTTTTTTTTTTTTTTACTCTCTCTCTCTCTCTATCTTTGCGTTTAGTAAGGAATAATCTGCGAGGACCATGCGGGGTGTATCTGCTGCCGAAATTGGCAAATTCCGTGAGCTTCAGAATCATTGGTGGAACCCGGATGGCCCTCTACGCACATTGCATTTCTTTAATCCTCTGCGCGTGAAGTATATAAATGACACATGCAGGAATTTCTCAAAGCGATCCAGTTTACTCGCCTCATCCGGCATCACACCTGGAATGCGTATATTAGACGTGGGCTGCGGTGGCGGTATTCTTTCCGAAAGCCTTGTGCGATTAGGTGGTAACGTATTGGGCATTGACATGTGCGAAGAGAGCATTGCTGTGGCGCAGCAACGTCGTGAGCAGGTGTTGCAGGATGTGACCTCTTGCACCCTACAAAACGGTGCGGCGTCGCTTGAATATCGCTACGCCTCCCTCAATACAATTGCAGTGGAAGAGAAGCAGCAATTTGACCTTGTGGTTGCCTCAGAGGTTATTGAACACGTTGACGACGCACCGCTTTTTCTGCAAGATCTTTGTGATGCGACAAAACCGGGCGGACTCCTCATCATTTCTACGATGGACAAGTCCATTCGAACAGCTATTAGCCATATTGCTGTTGCGGAGTATCTCACTGCATTGGTGAGGCCAGGTACGCATGACTGGTCAAAGTTTGTTCCTCCCAAGGACCTTTCCAGATGTGCGCTACAACATCAGGTGCGTCAAGTAGACCTTCAATACATTGTGGCATGTCCGAACATATTAGTGTCGTTATCTACCCGGCAAATGCAATTGGCCTTTTCGCTTTCAAAGAGGTTTGATACAGGTCACTATTTTTGGTCTGGTTTGAAGGTGACAGCCCCTGCCTAAACCTTCAATTTGTAGTTTGTGCCGATTCTTAAGCTGCGTTGAGGCAAGAATAAGAAGGAAACATTTTTATTTTTATTTTTTGTTTTTGACTTCAGTGTTTCTTTTCACTGGGGAAGAGTTGAGGGAGGGGATGTTTATCCCCTACTGGCGGAAATGCCTGGAGACATTATTTTTAATTTAGAATTCTATTTTTATCGGCGTACAGATGTATTTTTTTTTTTTTTGTTGTTGTTGTTTTTGGTTTTGTAAGCATGGATTTTCTTTTTTTATTTTATGTATTATTATTATTATTATTATTATTATTTTTTTTTTTTACTTGTTTTCTGTTTTCTGTTTTGTCTCTGCTAGAGGTGAGGGTTTTGGCCCTGGCGCCAGATAGTGTTACTAGACATCCATGACTGTCAAGGGGACGATTCGGTTTGAGGACCTTGGAGAGCCGGTGCAGCGGCTTCTGAGGTCGCTGAAGGGCGGCTACACGGAGGAGGACATGGCGTTGCTCGAATACGTCTCCGTGAAGGACATGGCAAGGATCTACGGAGAGATGTCTTCTGAACGTCACGCGGAAGAAATTTGGGAGGAGCTCCGTGCAGCCCTAAAAGCCCGGCAGGAAAAGGCAGCACGCCGTGAGTTGGAACTGCGCAATAGGCAGCGGCAAATTGAAGCCGATCGGGAGGCGGATGAACGGGCACGGCGCGAGCAGGAGGCGCTCGAAGAGGCGGAACGGCGAGCGGCGGAGGCGCGGCGTGAGCGACACGAGACACTACGCAAAATTCGTGAGGAGCAGGCCGAGGAAGAGGCAGCAGCGGCTGCTGCAGAGGAGGCCGCTTTGCTGGCGGCGGAGGAAGAGAAACTCAGGCGGAAGGCAGAGAAGAGGCGAAAACGGCAGGAAGCGCGTGAGCGGGAATTGCAGGAGCAGCAAGAGGCGTTGGAGGCGGAGCGGAAGAAACACGCGGCTGGAAATTCGGCATCGCAGAAAAAGGCCTGGGAGGAATATGTCGCCAGTCATCCTCTGGAGTTTGGCAATGGAAATCAAAACATTGAGCAACAACACGTCGAACACAAGTTGAGGGCCCCACCTTCGGCCACAACAGACCTCCTCAACCGAACATATACTCCCAAGTGTCCTAACTGCGCAACAAAATTTATGTCCCCTCCAAAGGAGTGGGATTGTCCTCTTTGTCTGAGACGGACACGTCAGCATATCAAGGTATGGCAACCAGACGATTCTTCTAGTGAATGCATGATTTGTCATGCGGCTATTGGTCGCTTCTCTCGCCATCACTGTCGAAGCTGCGGCCGGTTAGTATGTGATACATGTAGTATGGCAAAGGCTATTATTCCAGCCTTGGGATTTAATGCTGCTACAAAGATATGTGATGACTGTGCGCAGATGGGTCAACGACCCAAAGAAACATTCTAAAACGAAGAGCAAATTTGTTCTTCTAGCAGGTGAAGTTCTTTGTTTGCTCTGGTGTCTGGCTTGTTTTTTGTTTTTTTCCTTTTTTTTTTTTTTTTTTCTTCTGTAAGTTTTCTTTAAATCTGCGAGAGGAATTTACAAAAAAAAAAAAAAAAAATGTTGACTATGCCGCTTTTATTCTTCCTCCCCACCATGCTTAAAAAAGAAAATGAAAGAATCAAAGGAAAGAGAACAAGCAGTACATTTCTTTGTAAATACATGTCAGAGACCGTGCACTGTATTTATTGGCGAGTTTCTTGCTTTTGTTTTTTGAATAAAAGCGATGGGAAAGGAAAGAACAACAACAACAAAAAACAAAAACAAAAAACCATGAACAACATTAGCACACTCACGTCATCTGTTGTTTTCTTTTGTTTTTATTGGCAAGATTACAAAACCGCCACAGATGTTCTCCATTATTATGATTTTTCCGCCTGTGTGGAATAACAGCGGGGGAAAGGGGATATTGCGGGCACGGCAGAGAAACGGTGACTATTTGCCGGTCTCAGCACTCGTTATTTGCGACGCTGCATGTTATTCTTCACTTGTTTGCTTTCTTTTTGTTCTTGTTTGTTTGAATTCTACTCTGTGTCTTTCCGTAGTGTAACAACGAGAGCATTCGATAACAATAGTAAAAACGTGAGGGAGCAGGCCTGAAGGAAAATAACACACACACACACGGAATTAATAAGGGATTATGGATACTGTGGCTCTCACCGTCAGCTCACTTGTACATCAGGCTGAGACTTTTACATTTCCGGTTGTCCGTAGCAAGTCTTTGGCAGTCACTGTCGCCGTAGGTATTCCCCTCGCGGTGCTCCTGCATGACACGGCAGACCGCTGGCTGCCAAAAACGTGGGAAATACCCATCATCTCTTGGTTTCGCCGCAAGTGGCGTCAGGACCCCGAGACGAAGGTGGTGCACCTGGCGCTGGCTCGCAACGCCGTTCTATTTTTTTTTGTAGCCATGGCATTGAGCGAGAGCCCGTACTATCAGACGCCCGTCGACTACGTGTCAGACCGTGTCTCCAGTTCCTCCGCGCGCAAGGCCTTGGATGAGGAGATAAAGACATCTCGACGAGTCGCATTTGGAGCCGCCAACGACGTCGTGGGAGAAGAAGGACTTAACGAGGCGAGCGTCCGCCAGCAGCGGGACACGGCGCTCCGTCGTCGTTTTGTACATGAAATCCGCTCCGAGAACTAGGAATCATGAAGTGCTGGGAGTAGGGACGGGATGGATGGATTGTCATAACGGCAATTTTTGTTCACCCAAAAGGTGCCACTCTTGTACAGATATTCGGCGTCGAATACAACGACAAAAAGAACAGAAAAAGAAAAGGGTGATTGAAGGGGTAAACGAAGCCCACAGAGGTCCGACGTACGAAACAAAGACAAAAAAAAAGAAGAAAAAAACAACAACAAGACGAAGGGTGTGGGGAAAAGAAGTAATGAACTTTAATTATAAATAACAAAGAGAGAGGGAAGGAGCCGATGGCTGTGCTGAAGATATCGACAGTAACTGGGCAGCGTCTTTTTCTCTTTTTGTTTTAACCTATTAATTTTGTTGTTGTTGTTGTTGGAGAAGGAGGGGAGAGGGGGCGAAGTTTGTGTGCTCCCGCAATTAACACGGCGTGGGTGTTTGTTGTGACCCTTTGGGGTGAGAAGGGAAGCACACAACAAATTTTTGCCCAAGGGGAGAGGGGGGAAGGAGGCGATTCAGGGGTACAAGTAAGCAGACCATGTGATTGGGATACTCTCTTGTATCTTTAATTTCACTTTTTAGTTTTTGATTTCCCTAATGGCTCCTGCTCTGCGTGTGCCTTTTTTTGAATGAAGCACCCACACTGCTGCAGTATTCGCGCGACCGCATCCAAATGACACTTAATAAATTATATCTATTACTTTTTAAAATATTTGTTTTTTTTTTTTCTCCACCCCACTTGTCCTTCCAAAGACAGGTTTTTGCACCGGCCGTTGATGCACCCGGTTCATCATGTGCAGTGTCATGTTTGGCTTTATCTCTTGTTTTGGTCATCATGTTGAACTTTTTAAATTTATTGCTGCTGTTGTTATTGATGTTGCTTCTGCGAGAGGAGAGGGTGTCGCACAAATAACACTGTGCATGGTGTGGGGCGACGACGAAATACATATAGAGGGGGCATTTTTTTTTTTTTTTGAAGCGTGAAGCATAGAGGAAAAAGAAAGCGAAATAAGGACAGTTAATTTTTTCTAGTCCATCTTTTTGCGTATATATATATATATATATAAATATATAGATGAACCGCAGTGGCGATGCGATTGCGTTGCGTGACACGGCAGCGTACAAGGATTTTTACCGTAGCCAACTGCATGATATGTCGACAATGAGCGGTCCCTTAAAGGTGGCGGCAATGACGTCTTCAATGTCGATGGGAGCTGCAGGAGCTGCAGCAGCACATCCGACGGCAGGATCTGTGGTTTCTGAAGACACTGTACTACTTGAACTTCTTATTCCTGTGTATCTTAAGCTGGAGGATCGTGAAGAAGTGTGTCGCGAACTTGGTGTCTTTGTTCAGACGGGGCGTGGCGGGGTGAATGGTCTCTCACGAAAGGTGTGTGTGCGTTTGACGGACCCTGCGGATCCTTTTTTTCTGTTTGAACTAGAGCTTCTTGAGGATGACTACGGTTCATTCAAGCAAAGATTGGAGCTTCTTGTAGACTTTAGTGGGTTTCCGCGGTATCTTGTCTCCATGTTGAATGGCATTGTTAACGGAATCACACCGTATGCGGTTTGTTTTGTGGTGGACAACCGGGACACGCTGCGCGGGACGTTGCGGGTGCTTGAACGGACGGAATTTCGTACGGTGGAACACATCTCGCTTCTGTTGTTGCGACAAGGCGATGCAGGACAGAAACGGTACCTGGCGGAGCGATTTCAACACTTTGAAAGGGCGTACATCCGGGAAGTGGAGGAGCATCGCTCCGACTCCGCCGCGGCAACTGCGAATATCGAATCCTTGAAAAGTGAGGTGGCGGCGTTCCAAGAAAAATGCGACACGCTTCGGGAGCAGTTGAGGGTGGAGGTGGCGAAATCGGAAAAGAATCAGTTGGCCAGCGTCAGCCAGCTGCGTGGGGAACACGCCAGCGAAGTTCTGCAGCTCCGCAATTCGTTGGAAAGCGAACTCCGTCGTATAACGTGCAAAGCAGAGGAGGTCCAGGCGCAGCTTATGGAGGACGTGAGGACAAAGGACAGGGGGTTGCAGGAAGCCAACCAGCGCGTTGCTTTGCTGGAGTCGTCTGTTGCAAAGCTGCAATCGCAGCTGCGAGTTGCTGGAGATAAATGCGATGCCCAAGCGAAGGAGCTGGAGGAGCTTCGCTCCTCTAATCATGAGCTCCGGGACTTTCGCTCAAATGCCACCCGATCCATCTCCGACAACGAGCTTAACTGCGTCAAACTGCAAGAGCGTCTGCGTGGCCTGGTGCTGACCCTGAAGTCACGAGATGAGGAGGCCCAGTCGCTGCGGGATCAGTACCAGAAGCAGGACAGCTACATTCATATCCTTACCTCGCAAAATGACCAGCTTACCGAACAGAACAAAAAGAACGAGGTGTCATTAAAAAAGGCACATCATATCATTTCTACCCAGTTAAGGCACATCAAAGGGGCGAGGGAACGTGAGCGCATGATGCGTGATCAATTACGCAGCCAAGAAGCACTACTGCAAGAAAAGGTGGACGCTATTGCCCGACTGAGAGATGAGTTAGCATCCTCAGCAGAACGTGGGCGAGTACTTCAGAATAAAAACACCGAACTTCGCGATCAGTTAGAGAAGACGGATGCTGCACGTGAGAAACTTGCACAGGAGTTGAAGCAGAGTCAAGATGCCCTCATCCATCTTCAGAGAAGCACCAGTATAAATGGACGACACTGGTCAATAATGTCTAACAACAACACCGGGAATAACGTCAACAGTGCTCTTGGCGTAGGAACGATTAACGGTTTTGGGTCCACTTCACATGACATTTATCACGAGCTTAATAAGAATGCCATCACAACCGTACGAAATGCGGGTTGGTTGCCATCTCACGGGTATACGGATGCTTCTAGTTTGCCAGAAGTACATTCCCAGCGTGGAGTAAATGGAAATGCCAGCAATCCTCAAGGAGCATTGGTGGGTGAAACGAAAAATGTGAGTAGGGCTTCACATGATCTTCCAAATCCGGTGAACAACAAAACGGCAAATAATTTTGAGACGGAGGCGGAAAGTTTCTTTGTTAATAGTTTGGCAAAATTGCCTACCACGTCCGGGAGTCAAATGGTAAACGGTAAAAGCACGCGTCATCCTTTGGATACTACAGCCGTCAATGTGGCGTTGAATTCGAGGAATCAAGCGTTTGTCACAAAAAGCTTTTTTAATGATGGTGGAGACAATGCGAACTCCACAGCCAATACAGCTTCCTTTATGGAAAAACCAACGGCAAACTTAACAAAAACAGCAACAGTACCAAGCGCCTACTTTTAGTGAGACGTGCTGTTACACCAATTACACATACATACATTCATATATACATATATGCTTGTATCTTCTCTTTTTGGGCTGAGAAATTTTTATTTTTATTTTTATTTATTTATTTTTTTTTTCACTGTTGTGGATGAGAGGCTCTTTCATAGAAGATATATGTATATATCTATTTGTGTTTTTATTATTATTAATATATTTTTTTTTTTTTTTTGGTGGAGTGCCCCCTCCTGTCATTCTTTTCTTCTGTAACAACCGAAGGAATTATTGCGTGAAGAACAAAAAAAAGAAAATTATTTGGGGGTGGGGCCCGAGTTGCTGTCCTCGTTATCATTGTACGAGTGAGCCCTTACCCCTCACTACCCACACGTTAGGGGACTATGACATAGAGAGTGGTTGCGATACTTTGTATTCTTTTTGGCTGTCCGTATATAAATATATATATATACGTGTGTGTGTCTGTGTGTACTTTTTGCTTCTCAGGTTTGTTTGTTTGTTTATTTGCGTTGGATACATGCATGCAGGCATAAGAAGACGAATGATATTTGTATCACCCCAATCTCTTTTGCTTTTTTTTGCTATTCTTTCCGTGTCCCTCGCAGGTGGGTGGTTGGAAATAAATATTTGTGGCAAAATCCCATCAAAACAAGGAGAGTGAAGCAAAGGAGACAATTGCAGTCTGGCGGAATGAAACAGGACACTTACCACAGTCCAGCAAGCATCCACGCCGCATTACGGAATAGCAGACAAGAATACGGCTGGACGAAGAAGGAGACGCGCGGTTTAGGGGCGAGTCCGTCTTCCTGGAGTCGTGATGCACACGAAACCCCAAGTAAAGGTTCCGGCGGTGGCAGTGGCGGTGAAAAAAGATTCTCTTCTGGGCTATTTAGAAATGATAAAAGAGCCATCAATGATGATGCATCCTTTCGCGTGGAGCGCATAGATAGTGCTTCATGCCTGGCGTTGGGCGACGTGGTTGGATATGAATTTGTCTCAGAAGACGGAAGATGGACTTGGTCTATTGGCACGGTTATTGCATCTGGAGATGGCAGTGACGATACCATCGGACATGTTGACCGTAACAGCACCGTGAGTGAGGATCCCATTCTCGTTTCCCTGGCGTGCTGGAAAATTGCACCCGATACACAAGGCGATCCCCCGACTTGGGCGGGCAAACATGAGGATCATGAACAAATTGATGTCCGTCGAAGAATGGAGGAAATTGAGGAAGAAAAGGCCGAACTTTCACGACGGCCGTGCATGGAAAAAGTTATGGAAGCCGAAAGGATTGCCGAAACCGCTCGGGAAACGCTACGGTTGGCCGTTCGAGGTGAGCGGAATGTGCTACGGCAGATGACAAGGCCCCCAAATGAGTTGCGATTGGCGGTGAATGCGGCATTTTCACTTCTCCGTATTGAATTACTAGTGGAAAAACCCGAAGACGAGTGGGACCACATGCGACGAGTTTTATGCTCTGATTCTTTTGATGAAAATCTCTCAGAAGCCGATGCGTCTCGATTAGATGAGGCACAAAGCGAATTTATCAAGCAGCGGTTTTTAAATAATCCTCTTTTTACATATTTGCACATGAACGCAACGAGTCACATTGCGGCACTTATGCAAAAGTGGGTGACATGCGAAGTTCAGCTCTATGAATGTCGCAAAGAACTTCAATTCACAGAAATGCGTTTGGCTGAGTTGAGTCAAGAGGCGATGCAGAATGAGAGGGAGCTGCGCCTACATCTCAACTCCAAAGAACTTACAAGGACAGCCAGTAACCCATACGATGAGGAAAATGTACGCTACGCGTTGCAGTCCTTTCAAGACCTTGGCCAAGTTTCTTTTTCGCGAGGCGATGAGGCGACGATTGTCGTACGCTCGTCTGTATTCTGCAAGTTTGTTGCGTCCACTTCTTCCCCCATTTCTACCCTTGACAGCATGACTATTCATCGAGATCGTCTTGCCTGCATCCGTTCTGCTGCATCTGGAAAGCAGAGACGTTTGCCATTTGGTTCTTCTTTTAGTGAAGCCGATTATCCAGAACGAAGATATAATCAGTCGCGTGATGCCGTATACCAGACGAAATTGCTGTATGAGCAGTCAATTGAACGCGAACGCATTTTGGTACGTGAATTGGAGCAGCTTTATGAGAAGCATGTTCGCTACACCATGGCACAACACGAAATACTTTTTCGATCTACCGATTTCGCCGCCAGTTCCTACCGCTACAGCAAAAGGGATGCTACGCGGCTTACGGTCGCTGAAGATCGAGTGCGGGAGTTAGAAGAAGCGCTCCGACAGGAGGGAGGCAAATTACGCACTCTTCAAATGAACCACGAGAAGGAAATATGGCGGATGCAGGAAGAAGCAAAGCGACGGTCACTGGAAGCCGCTCAATACATATCGGATGAAGTGTCCACGATACGACTCCAACAAGTTAGCTTACAAGGTGACGAGGAAATTGGCCGATTGCAGTTGGCTGCGAATGAGGCGCGGAGATGGTCCGCACTTCTTTTGCTCGAAATGAGAAAGTCCAAAGACCTTGTAATTGCGGACATGCGTCAAGAGTACATTCGAGAGATGAATTTGCTGCGTGACGACCTTTCTAATCGTGAGAGGCGTCAGGTGAAGACAATAAAGATTCTTGAAGACTTGCTTGCATACAACGGTGAGGGGAGAGAATACCAACAACAGGAAATGCAGCGACGGGCGATCAAACGTGCGCTGAAGACGCTTTGTGGTTCAATGTCCACTGAATTGTCGTCGGACTCATCACCGAGACATTTTTCAAGAAATCCGACGTCATCTCAAGGGGCAACGTCCTATCGTCTTCCTGTTCGCAGTAACACTCCGGCAAGAGGAATATCTAATTTGGAAGCCACCGTGGAATCGAGGGAATTGGAAGAAGACAATGTTGTTATTTTGAAGGATCGTCTTGTTGAGGCCGTTCGTGATCGCGATTTGATTCACGAGATGCTTATGCAGGAACAGAGGAAAAACCATTCATTGGAGGAGGAGAATGCTGTGCTGAGATCCGAGCTGGATCGGGAGATGCAGGAGCGTGTGGAAGTTGAGAAAACGGCTCAAAAACTACAAGATGAAATTGCGGCAATATCGGGATCTGTGCGTTCAACCCCTAATGGATATATTAAGAGTGGTTCCGATAATGAGGAACTCGGTTTGCGGGAGGAGATTGCGAAACTGCAGGGTGTCATTGCGACATACGATGGGCAGTTGGATGAACTGCTGGAGGCAGAGGGAATAGAGAACAAAGAGGCCCCATTCCACTCTCTTCGAGAGTACATTGCCGAGATAAAAGCTTCCTGTGTGGCTATGCAGGAGGAACGCGATGCGCAGGCTGCTGACGCCAAAATGTTGGAGTCCTGTCTGAAGACTGCTGCTAATGCCTTGGAAGATGCCCTCATTCACGATGAACGGTGGCGCCCCCACATCACGGATTCCCACCACACCACGTGGCACTGGAAGAAATTTGATGGTTCCGGTTGGGATCGGGTTATCGCAGAGACTCCTGAGGCGCTTGAAAAGGCACTTGTGCACGGTATTGCTGCCGCGTGCCATGTACCAGAAGAGTACGTTTTAAATCTTACATACCATGATGAGGCGACGTGTCTGTATGCCTCTTTTGACCTTCGTCATGATCCAGCCATATCAGATGAAGATATTATGTGTCGTTTGGAGGAGTGCAATTATTACGAGTTGGAGAGGTTGTACACGCACCGGTTTTCCCCGGAGGAAGGCATCGACTCCTTGAGGAGAAAAATGCGCGAAAAGGAGGAGGAGTTGCAGGAATTACGCGCGACCATTGCGCATATGCGAGGTGATTCCAAACCACCAGGCAGCGGGCGATCCAAACGGCATTTATTGGGGGTATAAAAATAATGGGTCATGCTATTTTGGGCTATGTGGGGTGTGTGGAAAAAGAAAAGAGAAATAATAATAATAATAATAAAGAAGGGGGGTGAAAAGATTTTATTTTGATGATCATGATGGGGAGCACTTTACGCATTGAGTGTGTGTTGTATTGTGCCGCATGCGCACGGCTGATCTATGACACGAGGAAAAACAGAAAGAAGAGAAAGATCTGGGGAGATAAAGGGAGTAACAGTGTGGAATTATTTGTGTAATTTTCTCCTCTCTTGAAACACACTTTTCATGCCCATTTATAATGTTGTGACTGTGTCTGTGGCATCTTGACAAGGGAAAACACTGAAAAAGTGGAGAGGAAGAGCGTGGTGTGGTGATATGTACATTTTTTCTGTATGCTTTTTAAAAAAATTTATTGTTTTTGGATTTGTTTTCTTTTTTGTTTTTCCTTTTTTTATGTTATATTATGTATGATCGGTGACTTTGCGTCCATTTCTTGAGGCATTTTGTTGTTGTTGTTGTGTTTTTGTTTGTTTTTTGTTGTTGTTTTTGCATGGGGGCTGGGCGTTTTTTTCCTACGGTTACTCCTTGACGGTTTCATGTATGTATATATTTGCAACGGCTTTGCAGATGTGCAACAGGAACAATTGAATATTTATGTTTCGTTCTAGTTTTGATCACTTGTGTTGAATTCGCATATACCTGCATGCGTGCATCATTCTATTAATCCGTTTCCTTTTTGTTGTTGTTGTTGTTGTTGTTGTTTCTGTTGGCATGTGGCAAGAGAAATTAAAATTGTTGTGCGTGTGGTTTACTGTTACTTCTGTTTTGTTAGCAAAGCATCAATGAGACGCTGTGTGTTTTTCGGCCGAGGCTTGCGCACCACCACTGCCGCTGCTTTCGCCCTTGTGGACTCTTTTGCACCTTCCTTCCGTATGCAGAGCAGTTACGCTCAAAGCGCAGAGGGTCCTGCGTCATCGTCATCGTCATCGTCGGAGGAAGAAAATACGTCTCAGGAGAAGGAGAAGACGCATGCGGAAACAGATGCTCTTGGGGCTCCCCGTACGCCGGGCAAACGCCGAAACATTGTTGTGTTGAGCAACACCACCAAGGCTGTGTATATTCACCCGATGAATCATATAGCCTCTTGGTATTGGTTCATAACCGATTTTCATAAGTGGTTTGTCGGTATCGTATTTCTTTTTGTCGGATCACAAGTGCTTGCACGTTACCGCATATCAAAATTGCAGACAGTTGTGCAGGCACAGCTGGGAGAAAACCTCCTTGACCAGCGTACGCGAGACCTTTTGGGTGACATTGAGGTGCTGCGGCGAAAAGATCCTGTTCGGCTAGAGCAGGAGGCTAATGTGTACCACGAGCAGTTTTGGAAGCGACGTGCCATTGCCGTTTCAGAGTCACGAAACGAAGTTCGCAGAGTGGAGTTGCAGCGCGGCATGTTGCAGGGTCAGGCAAGAGGAACCGACATGACGGAGTGGCTAGGGGCCAAGGCGAAGGACGATGAGGAACGTGAAGTGGCGCGACGTACACAAGACTACATTCAGGGTTTTCACCAGCACCTCAAATCGAAACGTCTTATTTGAAAAGAGGGGCCTATATATATATATATATTCTGTGTAAAAAAAAGAAAAAAAGAAAAAAAGAAAAAAAAAAAAAAAAAGGAGGGGTTGCATTTGTTGAAAAATCAAATCTTGACTTTTTCCCTTTTTTTTTTTTTTTGTCCTCTCTTACCACCATGCCTACTTCTGATGTGGTGTCGTTATGGGGATTACGTGTATGGAGTTGGATATCGGAGACACGGTCATTTTATTTATTTTTATTTTTTTTTTTGGCTGTGTGTGGCTCTCGACCTTTGGTGCACTTTAGATCTATTGAAATTATTATTATTTGCCTTTTTTTTTTAATTTATTGGGTAATTTGAGTTACATGTATTTTACTACAATAAAATAGGATGGTGAAGCTGCTTGGGGCGGCGAGTATTGTGGCCACCGCTGGCGGCCTTATTGCCGGTGTGATTGTACTGGCGGTATTTTTGTTTACCTGTTGGGGCAGTCTCGTCTCTGCCGTCTTGGCATTCCTTCCTGAGGGCTTCTTGGCGTCACTGCCACCGTCGTCGAATTTTCTTTTTGAGACTATCCGGCTCGTATCTTTTGTGGAGACGGTAAAATACATGAGTCTGGCGAACTACGTGTGTTTTGCGGTTTTCTTAATACTTGTCCTCCTCCTCAGTGCCGTGGAGGAGGCGATGATTACCGTAAAGGAGGCGATTGAGGAGAAGGCAAAGTTGCCGTCGACGGAACTTGTCCGGCAGATGAACGGAAAGTACGACCACGCCTTGGCCGTGAGTGGCAACGCATACAAAGTAAAACAGGTGCGTGGTGGGAGACAACACGAAAGGAAGATGTAACGCAACCGCCTTAACCTCAGCACCTAAAATCAAAAGGAACCTTTCTGTCTGTCTCTCTCTCTCTCCCTCTGTGTGTGTGTGGAGGTGGGGGGGAGGAACCCGTGATGCCAACAGGGTTTTTTTTTGTATCGGGCAAACAAATAGACACACACAAAAAATGAGGGGCTGGAGAGGGCAACAACAACAAAATGAGTTTTTTTTTTCCCCCTTTTTATCACGTTGTTTTTTGTTGCTTCGATCCATGTGTTTTTCTCACTTTCACTCACACATATGCACGCATGTGTGCAATAATCAATCACTCGCAATGACAAGGAGACATAGATTGACAAATTTGAAGAGTAAAAATTAAGGATAGGAGATTATTGGACAGGTGGGGTGGTGGGAAGAGTCGTCGCGATGCAGCGACTGGCGACAAGGGGATTTATTCGTCCCACAGAAGTACTGCGTCGACGTTTTGTGCCCCCGTGGGAGCTTGATGGCAAGTCCGCGGACGAATTTTTTTCGGGTCTAATGCAAAGTACGAACCCAATTCAAACACGCCGAAAAGAAAAAGAACGTCATGAAGAGGTGGAGAAAAAATCCGTTGAGGAAGCGCCATCGCCCGCAGAATTGCACCGCATTAAGGCAATTCATGCACACAATGAGTTGGTTTTGAATCAACGAAGAAACTTTCTTCCGTACGGGGCAAATCCAGTTGTTTATTTTGAACGCAGTCAGATGGCGGCACTAGGCGAGTATGAAATGATGTTGCAGTCATCAGGTGTTGCGGCAAATAACGCGAGTTACTCTCCAGAGGTGCGGGAGATGTTGCGAGCAGATTTGCATCAAAAGTTGCCATACAGATATGAGTCTTACGTTGAACCCCATGGCGGTCAGGCACAGTGGCCCTTGCATGGCTCTGCTGGCATTGTTCTCGACATTGACGGCGTGGTTTACCGATCACATAAACTCATTGAAGGCTCAGACACCGCAATTCGTAAGATGATGGAGTTGCGTATTCCGTTGCTTTTTATGACGAATGGCGGTGGGATATCGGAAGAAGAGAAGGCGAGGGAATTATCACAGCTTGTTGGATGTGAAATTGATTCATCACAAATTCTTCTGGCCCATACTCCAATGCAGCTGCTTGCACCCATGTATAAGAATCAAAATGTATTGGTTGTGGGCAATCCGCGCTCTGCAGAGGTGGCGAAGATGTACGGCTTCGATCATGCCATCTCCGTCCTTCAATTTCAGGCGGAACATCCAGAGTTGTTGCCGTACAAAAAATGGGGTGATCTAAAGAAGTGTGAACCCTGTAGCGTTGCCTTTCCGGAAATAGCGGCCATCTTTGAGTTCACCGACCCAGAAGATGTCTTTAGTGACGTGCAGATCATGCTCGATGTTCTGCTGTCACCACGGGGACAAGTTGGACGCTATATATCAAGCACACAGAGTGTGCCGTATTTTCTCTCAGCGGATGACTTGTTGTGGGCGACGGAGGCCCCACTACCACGACTTGGTCAAGGAGCCTTCCGTGAAATGTTATCTGCCGTATTTGAGAGTGTTACGGGAAATGGACTACAAGTAACCACATTTGGAAAACCGCGCACGATAGCCTACGCATTTGCAGAACGTCGAATGGAGGAGGTGAGCGCGAAGTTGGGTTGGGATCCGAAGGCTCTCCGTGCAATTTTCATGGTGGGTGATAATCTTGAAACAGATATTCTTGGTGCCAATGCGCGGGGTGGTCGCTGGACTTCAGTTCATGTTCTTTCAGGCATCGGTCTTGCCCCCGCCGCGCGGCGTACGCTCTCAGAGAACGATGTAGAGCTTGAGTGGTTGGAAGAGCATGTCACCAAAACGCCTCATTACGTTGCGCCCACGGTGGATCATTTCTTTCGGGAACTTCTGGCATTCCCGGAGTCCGCCGTGCTGCAGAACAAGAAGCCCTTCTATGGGATGCCGAACCCTGTAGATCTCCGTGAAACTTATAACTTTCCAACGATTAATTAAAAAGAGGGGAGATTTCTCCCTTGTTGTTCGGTTGACATTGATGCATGTTGGGCACATGCGTGAATAAGGATTTACATGCGATCTAGAAGGTGTCCGGTAGGGGGGACAAGCCGTTGGTGCAGTCCTTTATGATTTTTTTTTTTTTTTTGCGTGTGCTTTTGCGTTTGAATTGTGATTTTGTCGAAGGAAGATTGTATGCGTCTGATATCATTTTTTCGCTCTTGTCATTGTTATTGCGAGGTCTTCCTGTTTTTTTGTTTTTTTTTCCAGCCGTCCCTTCCAGGAAGGAAGTGGGTCTGATGGCGTAACGCGTTTTTTTTTTTTTCTTTTCTTGACTTCCTTCTGCTTTATTTTATTTTTATTTTTATTTTTGCTTCAATGGCGTTTCTTCTTGTATGTACGGCGCTAATGGTGATCAAGCACGCTTTTAGATGGCCGATGCGCAGGGTGCAGGGGAAGCGCTCTTTAAGAACCCGCAGTTCATGGAGCTCTTCCAGCGAGCTCTGGGGGGCGAAGAAAATATTCGGGATATGCCCCCCGAGGGCGATCCGCGACGAGAGAAGTGGCTGCGTGACATCCAGATGAGGATTCAGGAGGAAAGCCGAAACGCCATGAAGAGTAAACTGGAGGCAATTCAGAGTGATGAGAACGGTCAGTGGATGTATGTCCTACCAGAGCCGGGGTTCTGCGTCAAATGCACCACGTCTGGAGGTGGAAAGATCTTTCTCAATGTATGCCAGCATGAGCGTATTGCCGAACCCATTCCAATGGAGGAAGATGAAAAGACGGATGAGATAAAGTTTAAGATTCCACTGAGTTGTGGCCAGGCGCGGCCGGGTACAGACAAGAGCGGAAAGCCGTGCAAAGTTTACGATGTCATTGTGAATCCGTCGACTGTTCAACGGTGTTCCAAGGATCATGAATTCCGCTGCTTTGTGGTCTCACTGTGTATCCACTGGATCAAGCAGAAGTGTGAGCCCACGCTGAATCATGAAGAGTACAGAAGCATGAACTTTAAAGTGAAAGGGGATTTAGAACCGCAACGGATTCGGTTATCAACCGCACCCAAAGGGGCAAATGCCATGGGGGATGAGATTCGTCTTCCCAAGGACAATAGCGCGGCATTGCCCCCAACAACGGTGGGCGGCCGCGGTGGCACAGGAAAACTCATACAAGAGGTGACGAATCCCGCCATTGCCTCGGATGCTGTTTCTTCTCCTCAAGCTGCGGTTCCAGCGACATCGACAACAACAACAGCAGCGGAGTCCAGTGCAGCTTCAAAAGAGGAAAGAATTGCCCCTTCCTTAGTGAAGTTGCAAGGTGAGGGAATTTACGATTGGTCACGGCATGTCAAGCCGGTGCTTAACCCCTACTTTCGGGAAAATATTCCTGCCACTTATGCCGTAGAGGTCTGTATTCCGACGGTGACGTCAATTGCAGAGGTGGAGGTGCGAATTACCCCCCGATCTATAGAAATCAGCTATGTTGACGCAGAAGATGGTGCACCCTTTTTGAGCATTCCGCTCGATTACCCCATAGACGAGGATGCACCCAACGCCAAGTTTGTTCGAAAGACGCATATGCTTAAAATGCAACTATTAGTGAAACTTCCGGACGAGACGAGCGAGCCTGCCACGAAGGCCGACCGTGACGTGACCGAAATTGAGGAAGAAGAAAACCGTCTGGCACGTGAGGAACGTGAAAAGGAACTCGAAGAGCACAGGATACGCATGGAACGGATGCGAGAAGAAGATGAACATGTCATGAGGGAGCGGAAAAGCTATGTGGAAAATTTGGTAGCTGTTCAAGAAGGAATGATGCCTCCTAGTCTAAAAGAGGAGTTGGAAAAACTCCCTCCGGAGCAACTCCGTGCCATGCTGCAGCGGTTAGAAAACAAAACCCGCATGGGGGATTCCATTGATGAGATGCTCGAGAAATTTCCTGATTCCATGATCGATGCCATTAGTCGCTACATTCGTGACAAGTTGGGACTTGAACAGAGGCCGCTGCCGAGCGAGAGCAACAAAATGTTAAAGGCGGTGAATTCCGGGGCTGGCTCTCCGCCCCAGACAGTGAAGGATGTAGCAGGAGTCACAACCAATAACCCGGAACTAGAAGAAGGGCGTGTTGAATACAACTTTGCAAAGAGTTCCGAGAGGCTATTTGGAGTGGCGTTTCACAACCGCTACCTCTTTGCTTTGGACTGACACCGAGGAGAAGTTCTGACGTTGGGCTTGGCTCGTGTGTGTGTGTGTGTGTGTGTGTGTGTTTGTAGTTCTTTGTGTTAGGGCTTTTTTTTTTTTTTTTTTGATGGGCTATTTTCTTATTTATGTATTTATACAAATATATGTGTTTCTCCCTTTTTTGTTGTTGCTGATTTCTCTCACAAACGGCGATATATTTTCTCTTTTTCCGGCTCTATCCACTGCGAGAGAAAAGAGAGAAAAGAGGGAAACGAGGGAGGAGGAGGAGGAGGGAGACACGAGGGAGTGAGCGCCAAGAAACAGGTGCGGTGCGACGGGATGTGACCGTCCGAAATGAAACGAAGAATATTATATGAAGAAAGACTTCCTGCTCGATGAATGGACGATGCCCGAGGCTAGCGAAGCCTTCCTTCAATCTCTTGCCATCTCTCAAACAGAGAATTGCTTGTTATTCTTTTCCCTATAGCCTCCACACCCACTTCTTTCTGTTCTCATGAAACAAACAACAACCAAAAAAAAAAAAAAAGGAGGGAGGGACGTAAGCTGGAAGGGCAATTGAAAGGAAAGAAACAGGGAGGGATGCTGCGGCGAACACCTCTCTGTCATGTACATTTATTTACCGCGCTTGTTCCTGTTAACAGCGTGAAGGCGCCGCAGCTCGTCAGCGGGGAACATCTTGAGACGGCCAAGAAGGCAGTGATGGAGGCTGAGCCACTGATTGGGAGGGCACCGCTTGAGACCGCGTTTGATTTGTTAGCTGACATATCGAATTTTCACAAGCAACGAGAGTTGGATCGAGTATTGGAAGAGTGCATCACGTCATATCGCGCTGAGCTTTATAAACCTCTTGTAACCGATCCGTTCCAGCGGTTACAGTTGCACGAGGCAATAATGGCTGCTGGGTATTATCAACGGTCTGCCAGGACCAGTGTTCTTAAGGGTGAAAGCGTGAGGTTTGTGCTACACCACTACAACTTTGATGTCCGTCGCGATACGTCGATCACCCGCACTGTTCACAATACACTTTATGAATCACGCACCTCCACTCCAGAGTCAGACAAATTGCTTGGCGATCTTCTTCTTTTAGAGCGGCGTTTGTTTGGCCGAATGCGTTTTGCGCCAACATCAGGGAGGCAGTGGTTTGTGCTTGGACTGTCACTAGATGATATCAAAACAGAGGCAGACGTACATCGTGTGCTTGATATCCCTGTCGTAAAGGAGCATGGAAATTTCGAAATGCGCGAGGAAGACTCGGGAAAGCTTTGGAAAAAAATTATTGTGTTCCCAAGGCCCGAGCCGATCTCTAGTTTTTCTGAAGATGGTGATTTTGCTATGCCCGTTTCGGAGAAGGATCTGAGATTGGAGTGTCGGATTCAAAAGCCAGCGCCGCCCATGGAATTTTGGGATCGTGTGAAGGATACGCTGCTACGGTATTGGGTGATTTGGTTCTCCTTGTGGATAATGTTTTTTATGGTAGACGAGGAGATTATTACCGTTACGGCATTGATATTTTTGAAGTGGCGTCAGACGAGAATTCTTGAGGAGGAGGCGCGGAAGACGGGTGGAAAAGTGTACATTGCATCCGCTTCGGGCCGCTCCAGGGATAGTCTATAACTGTCTATGAGTCTTGGGAATGTGCTCATATATTTATATATTTTGTTGTTGTTGTTGTTGTTGTTTTTGCTTTTTTTTCCCCCCCTTCTCTCTCCGTCTCTGTCTCTCTGTGTTTGAACTCCCCGGGGAGATTGGGCGGACGGGTTGGAGTAAGAGTGAAATGAATGTCCGTGACAGCCACCGCGGTGGGAAAGAAACAGAGAGAGACAAAACGAAAGAAGGAAGGCATAAGGGTCTTTATGTGTATGTATACACCATGCGTAAACTTCTTGTATGCAAAATGGACCTTTTCTTTTGTTCTTTTTTTTGTTTATTTATTTATTTATTTTTATTTTTATTTTTTTTTTTTTGTGTGTGAGAAACTTTTTTTTTTTGTTCTTTACGTGCAGAGTAGAGGCGAGATTTCAATTTAGGTAATTTAAACGAAGACTGTAAAATAGGAATAAAGACCAAATCAAAGGATAACAAGGTGAAGATAATAGGAAGGAGGGAAATAGGGCAATGGCAAGATGTCCATGTACGTTTTCAGGCACGAAGTTTCTCGTGTTTGTTGTGTTCTTTACTATGACTTCTATTTTTGCCCCTGCCGCATACGATTGGGCTCGCATGCAACGTCGCACCAGCCTGCAGGCAATTCTCACAAGGATGCATCCTCATTTTATAGAGGTTAGCGTAAAGCCTGCGACTGAGGAATATTACAAACTGTGGAGGTATTATGACTTTGAAGCGGATAGATACAGAGATCCAAAACGTCCCGGTTTTCCTGCTGTGCCTGCTGTTTACGTTCACGGTAATGCCGGTTGCTTCCGGGACATGCGATCCCTTGGGCGATTTGTTGGGGAGTCGGTTTTGAAGCAACGCTATCAAAACGCAGCTCGTTCACAAGAAGAAGTGAAACGTGCGTTATTTGGTTTATACAGGCGTGAGGGGTTGAAGATGCCTACCGATGAGGAGGAAATTCCCAGGGATTTGCAACGGCGGGCTGAGGAAATGGTGATCGCAAGGACACCACTTCTGGGGGTAGAACTTTTTGGTGTAGACTTTTTAGAAGAGTCGAATACTCAAAGTGGCTTGTTGATGGTGAAGGAGGCTCGTTTTTTGAATTACTGCGCTCATTTTCTTCTGCAAAGCCTTCTGGATCACTACCGAGAGGTGCTTATGCGTGCTCCAGGCTCTTTGAGGAGGGAGGGCAATGAACGAACACCAATCCCAAATAGCGTGACAGCTGCAGAGTCCGAGTACCTGAACGGTTTGTGTAGTCATCAAAGTTATGAACGAAAAGGGTCGAACAGAGTTTGCTATGTAGCTAAAGAACAGATTCGTCGTTTCTCTTCTACGGAGCGGATACGGCGAGAAGTGGAACGCATACAAAAGGAAGGTATTTGGATTTGGACCGAATCGGTAGGTGGCCAAGTGGGTCTCTTTGCAGCAATTTTAAATCCAACGTTATATGCCGGATTGGCAATGGCTGGACCGCCAGTGCGCTATCCACCGTTCCTTTTTGACGCCGGATGTGTGAACTTTCACCGGCTTGTACATGATGCGGCGCTTATCCCCTATGCATATAATTTTACCCCTACATACGACTGGAACAAAAGCCTTGACGTCACCGATCCTGTCCAACTTCTCTGGAAGTTAAGTGAAGTTCCTTCGCACGAAGTAGCGGCCCGAGTGAGTCGTATTAGTATGGTTACCATAAACGGGGGTGCGTTGGAAGACATCGTCCCACCGCAGAGCTCTTTTTTATTGCGCTCCGTAGGGCGCCGTGCATCTTCGGAAGATCATCAAAGGATGCTGAAGTTGGCTCATATTAATGCGGCACGGCGAGATGTATGCACGGAGGAACTACGTGGGTGTGGCGTGTCACTTAGTCATCGAGGTCTTGTGTTTGCACTTCAACTGTTGGATGTTGGGGCTTATTCTTTGGTACGGGCATCGTTATCTTCGGAGTCAAGTGTTTTTTTGGGCGTTGAATCCACTTTTTCCTCCACGAGAGATCGACTATTCCCTACGGTGGTGGAAACTCTTCCCAAGTCAATTGATGCGTACCGCAATGATGAGTCTTTGTTTCTGCTTTCCCTGGGTGAAGTAAAAAAAGCAGAGAGCGATGAAACATTTTATCGCATGGGAAATACATCTTATGTGTTTAACAAAATGAAAAAGATTTGTGTGCAAAGTAATGATGTATTGAATTTACAGGACATCCCTACAGAAGAGGATGATGACACGGAGTCGTGGGAAGCGCTGCAAATTTTTATTGGGGCCACAACATACCCTCCAGAAGACGTTTATTTTCCTGAGCTGCGTCTTATTTATACGGGGGAGAAGGGAAAAGTTTCATTTGCGAACGTTAGCGCACGTGCCGCGACGAAACTTCACCTTCCCACGCGTCGGAAGGACAGTGTCGCTAAAATTGGAGAGGTGGTGCTAACAGCTATCAGTTTTCAAGTGCTGCAGAAAAGTCGTGTAGAGTCACCGGAGTGGGTGCGTCCGCAGTTTTGTTTTTTTGTAGATCGTGCGAAACTGTCTGAAAAGCACTTTTCCTTTGTTCAGCACGACAGGATTGACCCATCGAGCCAGAGGACGTCAAATGATACGTCCCGAAATGATGATCTTTTCCCTTTTATGGGAGGCGAACGTGTCTCCGTTGAAAAGCACGGGAGATTTGCTCTTGTTCGTAATATCTGCAGCGTGTCCTTGGAGACAGAAATGGTTGTTCATGTCAATAACAGAGCTGTTTTCCCCCATCTCTTGTGTGGTTCCTTCCGCTCGTTTCGCATTGCATTTCGAGGGACGGGAGGACTGGCGCCGGACGAACCGGAGGCTCAGCAACAGTACTTCTTTGGGCCCTATGAGGAAGAACGACACACATTCAATTATAGCTGGCGCCCATTTTCTACAGTACCATTTAACTTGACAAATGTTTACGTGGTGTACGTGATATCTGCAGAAGATCAGCCAAAAATTCATCTTGGGGATTTTGAATTGAGTGCATCTCCTCGCTGGAATGAATACCGCTACTGGGTATGGTGGTTTGGGCGATGGAGAATGCGTTGGATGGCTGTGCTATCAACATACTCTGTCTCGGGCAAGTTTGCAGGCTGTTATGTTCTTCTTTATTTTACCTTATACACATGTTTCTACACAAGTCATTTTATTGGAGAACGCAAAACATTATCGAAATTAGTTTGTTGTTGGTTTTGGAATGTGAGTCCTTTTTTGTTGGTTTTGTTGGCTACTATTCTCTTAGAGAATATTGGGTATACGGCGGCACGCAATGCATTAACCGTGTGTCTCAACGAGGATCCTCCACTACGCAGTGATGAAGAGCTTACGTCGATGATGGATATGCGAGAAAAAATGACTTTAATATTTCTTTATGCTCTTCCTCCACGCTATGAGGCTTGCAAGTATTCCTGGATACGCATGCAGAGTGTAGTTCCTAGTAATTTACGAATGGAACACATGTTGCACATAGTATGTGCAAGTTTTTTTGCAATTGTTTTGATTGTAGCAGAAATTTGTTTTTGGTGTCTTATGTGGCCGATGTCTTTACTACTTCGCATTTTTTTTAAAATGCGCCTACGCTCGAGTGTGCCTACTTGGCGGTTGGTGTTGTTTTGGTCCATCCCCATTTTCCTGCGCATAGCTATTCCATGGTTGCACATTTCCATTATAACGACAATTGCATGTTTCTTGTCATATGCCGCGTTATGGTGTTTTCCACATAATCGTTTTACCCCTGGCAATCCTCAGTATCGCTGGTTGTGCTTTCTGGTCGCCATGATGCTCCATTTTTCTGCTCACTTTGAGGGGTTAGTGCTCGTTTTGAGAAATTACTTTATTGTTTCGCCCGTGGTGTTAGCGGATAGTGAAAGATACAAGACCCTTCCAGAACACATCTTGGCTTTCACGGTGGTTCAGGGCGGATTGGGTGTCGTTTATGGCACGCTGCACTTCTCACTGCGTCACTTTGCCACAATGGATGCTGAAGCCGCAGTAAAGAAAAGGAATGGGGAGAACTTCATAGAAAATAAACTGAAATTGAAGGAAGGTGCAGATCAAAAAATTTCATTATCATACTCTCTTGGAGATATCAGTCGTTTTTATCCACGATTTAATAGAGGAATGATAATTTGTTCGAGGATTGTGCTTTTTTTTGCATTGTGGGCCTCGTTGGTTTCTGTACGACGACCGCTGGAAGGTACCATTGCCTTGTACGGTTTGTGTCTGACTGTAGTTTCCCTAGCACTTCGTTTGGCTCGCTTATGGTGAGGCTAGCTGGCGATGGAAACAGATACTCGCAAAAGCAAAAAGAAAAGAGAGAGAGCGAAGGAGGGGGAAAACGCGGTGTTTTTTTTTTTTTTTTTTTACTAAAATTACTCAAAAGAGGCCGGTTCTTAAGTTTCTTTCTCTTTTTTTAGGAGCTGTGTGAAGAGAAGGATCGCGGGAGAGCTGGCAAACTTAATTAATGCATATATGTATCCGGGTAAAACGAATGCAATCCTTTATGACACTTTCCTACCGTATGAAATTTGGGAAGGTCACGACTTTTAGGAGGAGCGGGGAACCGATAGCGGCCGGTTAATTATTTATTTTTATTTTTGCCATCCCACCCGCACTCTTTTGGTTCTTACCCTGCGGCGGGGTCTTGTGGCTGGAGGAGCCCAAAGTATGCCACTTCGTAAGTGATATAAATAAATATACAATAAATATATATGTATCCCATCCGAATAGGGTGAACGGGTCACAATTGTGGCTAACGGATGATATATATATATGATATATATATATATAAATGTGTGTGCTTACTTGCTGTTAAACTTTGAGGATATGGTAAATCTATTCTTATTCCATTTGCTTCTTTTCCTATTTCCATCTTGTTTGTTTCCTATTATTGATAAACTCATGATTCGGCCAGCAGCCCAGAAGATTATTCCGTTTTCTCTCTCTCTCTCCCTTGTGTGTTTGTGTGTGTTGTTCGTCTGCCGAGTCCATTAACGGACCATGAAAAGGCACTGCGATAACAAATTTGGAGAAATGAGACGAAATAATTTGCCGTGTGGATTTCTATTTTTGTGGAGCGCTTTTTTTTTTTTTTTTGTTTCTTTTTTAATTTTAACTTTTTATTTTGGCTTTTATTCTCTTTTTTTTTTTTTTTTTTTTTTTTATAAGTGAACGAAACACATGCCAGTTGCGCCCAATGAATGGAAGGGAATGGAGAGCGGCAGCAGGACCGGCTGGCTATTCAATTACCACCCAACGACGGTGATGGTGGCTGACGAGTCGTCAGTGGAGCGCCAAGGTGGATCGGGTGGGCGGGCCGCACTTGTTCTTCTTCTGCAGGATCATGACGGCGAAATATTTTTTGTGAATCTGTTCTATCGCCCCTACATTTTCGTCTCAGTGGTGGAAGGGCATGAACACGAGGTGGAGCTTGGTCTCATGTCTCTTTTTGGCCCGCAGCTGATTTACAACGTTGAAACGGTCGAAAAGGAGGATTTAGACCTTGTCAACCACTTAAGCGGTCGGCGGCGGCTCTATCTGAAGGTTGTTTTTAGAAACGTGCAGGACTTAACGGTGGTGCGTGGTCGACTTGAGAAATTTGTGAAGCGCAACGCCTCCATGGGGGCTACAAACCCGTTGCTAAACCCTTTTGAAGGATCACTGAGAGATGTGATGGCCAAAACATTTGAGGATGACCCGTTCGATTCAAACATTTCATCGGAGCGATGGGTTGACTGGGTGCAGGAGATGAGGGAATACGACGTGAAGTATCACATGCGGGTGGCCATTGATTTGGGCATTTTTGTTGGTGTGTGGTACGATGTCATTGTGCATGAAGGCGAGGCGAAAGTGACACGCTGTGATGATAGTGCGTATGCTCCGGCCATGCCGCGGGTTTGCGCATTTGATATTGAAACCACAAAGGCTCCACTGAAGTTTCCACAGCCTGAGGTGGATCAAATTTATATGATTTCCTACATGCTTGACGGACGTGGGTACTTGATTGTCAATCGTGATATTGTTTCCATGGACATTCATCCGTTTGAGTACACCCCAAGGCCGGAGTACGAGGGTATTTTTGAAACATTTAATGAGCCGAACGAAAAGGCCCTCCTACGGCGCTTTTATGATGAAATGCGGAAGTACAAGCCAAACGTGTACGTCACGTACAATGGGGACTACTTTGATTTTCCTTTTATTCATGCTCGATCCTTATTTCATCAGTTAAGCATGCGGGAGGAGATTGGCTTCACGCAGGGCGCTGAAGGTGCCTTTTTAAACCACAAGATTCCCCACCTTGACTGCTTCTACTGGGTGAAGCGGGACAGCTACCTCCCACAGGGGAGCCAGGGCCTGAAGGCGGTGACAAAACACAAATTGGGTTACGACCCTATCGAAGTGAATCCGGAGGAAATGTTGCCGCTGGCACAGACGAACCCGCAACAGATGGCATCGTACTCCGTCTCCGATGCGGTGTCAACATGGTATCTTTATCAGAAGTATGTTCACCCTTTTATCTACTCACTTTCTACCATCATTCCCATGGCTCCTGATGACGTGCTACGAAAAGGATCTGGCGGTCTTTGCGAGTCGCTGCTAATGGTACAGGCCTACGCAAACAATGTTATATTTCCGAATAAAAAAGAACAACAGTTGGAGAAGTTTTTTAATGGGCATCTGATTGACAGTGAAACATACATTGGTGGACGCGTGGAAGCTCTTCGAAGTGGGGTGTTTCGTAGTGATATTCCCCTCGGTTTTAATATGAATCCAGACATGTACCAGAAGCTTATTGATGATCTTGATGATGCGCTACGATTTGCTTTAGAGGTGGAAAATGACGTCAAGGTAAATGACGTGACGAACTATGAGGAGGTGCAGATGGCAATGAAAGCAAAGTTGGAGTTTTTGAGGGACCACCCACGCCAATCGAGTGAACCCATCATTTATCATCTGGACGTAGGCGCCATGTATCCCAACATCATCCTTACCAATAGACTCCAACCGTATGCCATTCCCAAACCAGATGTCTGTGCAGGATGTTGTTTTAATTCGCCAAACAACGAGCATCAGTGCAAACGAACCATGACGTGGAAATGGAAAGGGGAATTTCTGACCGCTAGTCGTCATGAATATCAAAGAGTAAAGGCTCAGCTGGAGAATGAATCTTTTGCAGCAGCCGCGATCCAGCAGGCAAATCTTTCTGCCGTTCAAAAGAAAACTTATGGCAACCGCAAAGGAAATGTCTTGGAGGGGACGACATTTGAGCGAAAGCAGCGCCCCTTTTCTCGAAGAAAAACCGATGACTTTAGTGGAGGATATCGACAAGAGAGCAAACACCAGCGAAAAGAAGCACGTAATGCCCTACTTTCAAAAGAATTTGAAGGAAAAGGCGGGAGTGGAAGTGATGACGAGGACGAGGAAGATGAAGAGGCAGGCGGGTTTAAGGCTTTTCATAAACTTCAGGACACCACCCAGTTTAATCTTTTGAAGAGGCGTCTTGCGGAGTATAGTCGGAAGGCTTACGGTAAAATTCATGAATCGCGTGAAATTTTACGCACGGATGTTGTATGCCAGCGCGAGAACTCATTCTACGTGGATACGGTCCGTTTGTTTCGCGATCGGCGTTACGAGTATAAAGCCGCCCTTAAGAAGTGGAAGAAACGACTAGACGCGGCCAAAGAAGTAGAAGAAGTCAAACTTTGCAAAAGTCGCTGTGTCCAGATGGAATCCCTTCAGTTAGCTCACAAATGTATCCTCAACTCTTTCTACGGCTATGTCATGCGGAAGGGCAGCCGTTGGTATAGCATGGAAATGGCTGGTATCGTAACATACCTTGGAGCTAGACTCATTCAGATGGCACGGGCACTTGTGCAACAAATTGGTGTGGCGCTTGAACTTGACACGGATGGCATATGGTGTTGTCTTCCCAAGGAATTTCCAGAAAATTTTATCTTTACGACCTCACATCCTTTAAAGTCAAAGGTGACAATTTCATATCCATGCGTTGTTCTTAACAAAATGGTGCACGATGATTACACGAATCACCAATACCAAACATGCATTGCCCCTGGCGTGTATGAAAAACGCAGCGAGTGTTCCATTTATTTTGAGGTGGACGGGCCTTACTTGGCTATGTTGTTACCAGCAAGTCGGGAAGAAGGAAAAAGCATTAAAAAGCGCTACGCTGTGTTTAATCCGGATGGAGGACTTGCCGAATTGAAGGGATTTGAACTAAAGCGACGTGGCGAGCTGATGCTTATTAAAGACTTTCAGTCGCAGGTATTTTGTCGGTTTCTTGACGGGAACAGTCTTGTGGATTCCTACGCCTCCGCCGCCGTGGTCGCCAACGCGGCACTAGACATGTTGTACTCAAAAGGGGAGGGTTATGAGACGGAAGAAATTCTTGAGAAACTATCGGAAAGCAGCAACATGACACGACGTCTCGCCGAGTACCCGGACTCACAGAAGTCACTGGCGCTAACCACGGCACGCCGCATAGCGGAGTTTTTGGGTCCACAAATGGTGAAGGATAAGGGATTGGCGTGTCAATTTGTTATTTCGCGTCTTCCTGCCGGTCGCCCAGTAACGGAGCGTCCGATTCCTCTCACCATTTTTCGTGCTGACCCGACATTGCGTTTGCACTTCCTTCGCAAGTGGACAGGGGACAACTCACTGTCGCTGGACGTTGACCTCCGTCAGCTGTTAGACTGGGATTACTACATTGCAAGATTCAACGCATGTGTGCAGAAGATAATTACGATTCCCGCGGCACTGCAAAAAGTACCAAACCCAGTACCACGTGTGCCCTATCCAGAATGGTTGCATAAGCGACTTCAACAGCAAAATTCTAGGTTTCGGCAAGTTAGTCTAACCGGGATGCTTGCAAAAATGAAGGCAAATGAGAGCGCCATCCCGGACGTGGAGGAGCTCATTCCACTCAATAAAGCGGGGGTACCCTGTACGGTGACGCTGGCAAGGAGGAATACGAAAAAGAATGGTGTGAAGGAAGAAGATTTCGAAAGCGATTGTGGAGAGGATCTCGAGAGTGTATTCGATGATGATGTCGATCGTATACGGCAGGAGGAAGAAGCACGGGAGGAGGAGGCGGTTGATGCCCTCAAAGCAAAGTACTTCTCCCCGAAGAGTACTGTTGCGCTGGACACAGCGTTCTTTACGGCTTCTGGTTTGAAGACGTGGCTGCAGCGTCAGAGGGACGCATGGACGCATCGTGCGAAACTTCGTCGAGAGATGCTGCTTGATGCAAACGATACCCTTCTTGTTGATGGTACTGCCGTCAGCAATCATTTTATTGATATTAAGTCCAAGGCACTGACAGCGACGTGGCACATCTTGGAGGTGCGATCCGATAAGGAAGAAACAGGAATGGTGACTGTTATTGCCGCACTTGAAAAAACGTTACATACATTTCGCTGCGTCGTCCCACGTCGTGTTATTGTGGATGCCACTCTACAGTTTCAGGCTCCTGGTGCGAAGGGGTTAAATAATGCTCGGATACTACCTCGAGGTCGTCTTGCAACAAATTTACAGCAGATTGACATTCCACCTGGATCTAAGGGGGAGCGTGTGCTCAATGCGCTGCTGAGTACGCGGGAGGATGTCCTTGCCGTTTACGAAAATCACATTACCCGAAGCGACACTTTTATTGAGAAAATTGGCTGCTGTGCAAACGTCATAGCGGACGTTCATTTGCGCGGTTCACGACGTCGGCCATCCATGCGAGACGTGTTTGAACTCGAGGAGTTGGAAAGTACGGCGAGTAGCAATTATCTTCAGAATTCCACCGATCGATTTGTTTTTATTTTTCATGTGGCTTTTGATACCCGTGGTTTGCTTGGCGTGGTCAATCACCACGCAAAAACGGCTGTGGTGGTTACTGTTCAACCTGCATCGGCACCGATTCCAACAATAAATTGGAGTTCTCTTCTTTTGGAGGTGACAAAAGCCATGAATGCGGCAGTGAACCCACTTGAATTTATGACGGAAGTTGCATCTGATATTACAAGCGCATGGAAACTTATTTACAGAGTCCTGATGGAAGTGATGGAAAGTGGGAGACCGCCCTTGTTTGCTGTTCTTGAGAGTGGCGTGCCGACTCTGCAGCTTTTAACGCAACGCTGTCTTCCTCAGTCACTGCCGTATTTGCGCGTGCTTGGTGCTGTGGAGGATGAACGACTGTTAGCAGATCCATTTCGTTGGACGCGTTTACTGGCGAAACGGCTTTTACAACGGTATTTTGCTTCTCTTCTTTGGATAGAAGAACGTATCGCATTTAGTCGACTTTCGGGTATTCCTCTCTGTAATCTTGCGCAGGACACATGTGCGCATGCGTGGGATGTCATGTTTAGTCGTTCACTTCACTCTCGCTCTCATGTCCTGTGGAATTCGCACGATATATCCATTGCCTACGAGGCTGTGGAAGAGCGTTCTCGTCAGGTCGTTATGCCGGGTGGGTACTTTTCATGGTGTGTAGAGTTTAGTTTAGCCAGGTTGGATGTGGTTGCCGTGTTATTCTCGCAGATAATTCAAGAAGAGGATGGCCTCAATGTGCACACTCTCTGCGATCGCGGTGTGACTACACACTTCAATATCTTGCGGGATCTTGTTTCAGATCTACTCGGTCAAGTGGTGGCAAACCCGGTGGCGGACGCCCTTCTTGCAAGCTTTGCACGCTGGATTCGTGACCCTGTTTCCTGTTGCTATGAACCTCGGTTGCTAGAACTTGTAAGTAAGCTTGCTCATCGAGCCCTCACCAATGTTCTTATCCGTCTGGCAAAATTGGGTGGACGTACCGTAAAGGTGGATGGGGATTCGATTGTTGTGCTTACCCCTAAGCATACCATTCAGGATGCAGTTAATTTTGCTCGTTACATGGTGGATTCGTTACAGGACCAACCCATGTTACTTCTCTTGTCTCTTCAGCCTATTCGATATTGGTGTCCATTTATGGTTCTTGACAAGCGAGATTTTGCATGCTTATGCCTTTCTAGTGAAGATGCTCTTGGTTTGAAGGAGAGGGAGCAAATGCCACCTGAAAGGCTGAGGGTTGAAAATGCGTTTACAATCTGGGGTAGGCTGCCCAATAAGGTGAAGAGTGTCTTTTTTCGGCGCGTTGAAAGCACACTACGGCTCATTGCAGAGATACGTGAAAAGGTGTTTCAGGAAATTCAAGCAGACCCCACGGTTGTTCTTGCCACCAAAAGTGAGCAAATCCTATTAAGACAAGTGAAGGCCTTTAAGGCTGCAATTGAGAATAAACTGCATGGTGAACTTATCGATGAGGTGCATGGACTCATGGAACGCAAAGACTTGTATGAGGAAGGTGAAGTTCCGAGCGGTGATACACCCTTGTCGGGTATTGCAGTGGCGTTGGAGTACACTAAGACCATTTGTCGTTTACTCGATTTATTCCACAATGATGGGGTTGTGGGGAAGATGCACAATAACTGTTTGCGCCTTTGTGGGGTTAGTCCCTTTTCCCCGTTAGCCCAGCTGATTCCAGATGTCGAAGCAGAATGTCGCTTGCTAATGGTGAGGTGCAGTTTTTGCAACCACGATCTCTTTCTCGACTTGGGCGTGCAGGAAAAACGTTTGCGCTGCGATTGGTGCCATGCGCCAATTTCCACATCCGCCTTGGAGTCCCACCTTGTGCGACGTGTCAACGACCTCGTTATGAACCATTTGCAGCAGGACTTTAAGTGCAGCAAGTGCAATGAGGTTGCGTCGAGCTTCATAAGTCAGAGTTGTTGCGGTCCTCTTGTAGGAAAAGGCAAGCCGATCGCCTCACAGCTCCAGGCATTGCGCAAGTTTGCCCTCATTCAGGACTTTCCATGGTTAAAAGAGAGCGTTGATTTGGCGCTTCGCTTCTCCTGAGTCAACTCGAACAAAGAGAGAGAGAGAGAGAGAGAGAGAGAGAGAGAGAGTGAGTGAGTGAAGAAGAATGGAACGAAAAGAAAACGAGGGAATGAGTGGGGATGATGGGAAATAAAAAGTGAGTGGAGTAACTTCCATAGAGACCGGGAAGGCTTGCCGCTGCTGCGGTCCTTTCCACATAGAATCACACGGCGTTTTGCATCACGATGAAATCATGAAACAGGCATAAGCTAAAAGGCAGGGGCTACGCTTGTTTGACTTTTCTCTGCACACACCTGTCTATGGGAGAGGCACGCAATTGGAATAATATATATATACACATTTGTATGCATGTTCCTTTCCCTTACTCTTGCACCGTAGCCCACAAAAGCTTCATTAGGGCCTAATTGCTACTTGAACAGGATCCCATTGGATCTGTTTTCTGAACGCCAGGGAGTTTTTCTTGTTTACTTTACAGTTTGTTACCGGTGCTACCTCCCCGCTTACCTGAATGCTAGCCGTGACGTGGTTATTGTACATGCGGCCACGCCACATCATGTTTACACCTCCACCTCTTGCTAGGCGCCGGGGTTTTTTTCGATGTCGGGTGTGCCAGAATTCTTGGGGTTCTTCGAATGTGTGGGTAACAAAAACGACGCAGCGGGTCTACCAAGGCGAGTCTTGCGAGAAATGTGGCACAACCACAAAGCCGTACTACGTTGGTCGATCAGCAGAAACAGTTTTCAATCGCGTAAAAACACCGCATCCGGTGAAGGCCGAGGCATCCAGCAGCCGACATGGGAAAAAGTTAAGGCATTTGCGGTATGACTGGCGGGTGCAGCGAGGTCGAAGATGAAAATGCTTTTTCATGGTGTGATGTGTGTGTGGGCGGGGCAAAGAGAGAGGGAGGATTTTTGCTGCTATTTGGGTTTTTCTTCCTGTGGAAACTTCGGTGGTAAAAGTGAGGGGATGTACTGAGGCAGCTGCTGCCATGATCCGTCTTTTTCTTTGCTTCTGTTTTTTTGTGTGCTTTGAGTTTTTTTTTTTTTTTAATCTGTGAATTTAACCCTTTCTCTTTTTTTTTTTTAAGGACAACATATTTTCTCATGGTTGTAATAGTGTGGCTTTCTTTTATTTTGTGCGTCTCCGCCACGATTTCAATAATTATTGGGGCAATTATTTACTACGCATATGATGAAATTCTTCAACAACGAACTGAGGGCCTTTTATTTAACCAGCCTGGTGTGTGCTCCGTCGTTTATATAAACTGCGCCCTCCCCATTGTTACTCTTACGACCGGCACAATCTCACGGCAAGTGAAAATCTGGGATAATATCGATCCCATGTATTTTTGCATGGTTTCATCTCCGGCGCACGTGCCGTGTTGGTGGTCGAAAGAAAAGCATTTATCGGGGTTTGTGCGAATTGGGCCTGTTCCACCAGTAACGAGATCGCTAAGGATGTTTTCTATTGCTCTCATGGCACTGGGTGGACTCGTCATTTTCACCGGCATCACTTATCTCTACATCTTCAGAGGGAAGTATAGTGAGTGGTTGCGTCGAAGTAGGGATGCAAGCCAATCAGGCAGGTCACAACAGCAAGACGATCGGAGAGGTACGCAGATGAATGGCCAATCCACGATGATTGAAGAAAGCAAGCTCGCGGAGGCGTATCCGATGTCTAATCCAAACTGGATGGAGGAGGCGACAACTCAAACTGCTTATGCAAAGAGACGTCTTGATGTTTTAGGGCGTTTTTTTGAGGCCCGGCGAATGCAATTTGCAGGCAGGGAAGGATCTTCAGAGCCGTTTGGCTTTCTAGCTCACTCAAACATGGAAACGGAATACGATGAGGAGGATTTCCCCGTGGATGAGTGTTATGTATGTTTATCACGTTTCCGTCGGCGGATGATCTGGTGGCCTTGCGGCCATTGGTTGTGCGCCAGCTGTGCACGTAAAGTTTTAAGAAAGACGGTGTGTCCCGGGTATGCCAGCTGTCCCAATTGCCGAGGCTCATTCTTACGAGAGGATCTACTTGTGCTGCATTTATTTCCGAAGGCAGTAACTCCTGTCGCTGAAAACTTTCCTGAAAACGAAAATAGTAATGAGAATGGCAATCGTATTTCTAGCGTTGAAATTGAAGAGACATCTGGTTTGGTATAATTAGGCTTCTCACCGCGTGGCAAGGGCAAACACAGTGAAGCCCATGGAACCCGTTGAACGGCTTGGCTTCTTTTTTCCTTTTTTTACGGTTTTTTTTTCCTTTTTTTTTGTTTTCACCCATCCTCGCTTTCCTTGAGTACAACTGCAAACATAAAATTTATACAAAAAAAAAAAAAAGGGGGAAAATAATAATAAACTAAAAGAAAGAAAACGAAAAGAGAAATATTTTGCGCATTAATATTTATCTTCAGTGCGGAAGGGGAAAAGACGGGAAAGTAAGAAAAAAAAAAAAAAGAATATTTTTGTATTCTCATTGGCGAGGGAAGTATGAGCTACATTTTTTTTTTTGCGTGTATTTAAGTGTTAGTTTGGTTAGAAGAATAAAAAATAACAACGGCGTTTTTTTGTTTGTTTTCGGTTTATATTTCCTTTTCTTCTTCTTTTTTTTTTTTTTTTTGTATGTGTTTTCTTTCTTTGGTTGAGTGCGCTGCGTTGGGGGGGGAGAGGGGAGAGATGAAAGTGTTGCGGCTTGCAAACTTCACACCCAATTGTGCAGCAGGGATAATTTTTGAAGTCGGCATGAGAGCAGTAGTATGTGCATCGAATTTCCTTCTGGATACATCAATATTTTTGGAAATAAAATAAAAAAAGAGGGACGAGTCGTGGACAGTTTTTTTTTTTTTAAAATATATATATATATATATATATATATACTGCATTTGAATAGCGTGTGGGAAAGATTGTTCAATAAGATGGGGTCAATTAGGAAATGAAGTACTTTGTGGAACTGCTCTGTTTATTTATTTGTTGGTTAGTGTGCTTTTTAGCGTGTTATTTTTGGAGAAAAATGAGTGTAGTCTTTTTTTTTCTTCTGTTTTCCCACGCATTTCCCTCTTTTACCCTCCACGTGGAGGGGGACAAAAAGGGCTGAGGAAACCGTGAAAACTGCCAGTTCGTGAGTTCACAACGAGCTCGGTTATCACGACAAATATATTTGGAATCGGTTTACTACTGTATGAGTGTGGGTGCGGGTTAACTCGTTTTTGAAGCGGGGGGATGCTGGGCGCATTGAACCAAACTCTCGTTTCCCTCTTGTTGCTGTCCTTTCACTTTATGGGAATGAAGGACAAGGCCTCAGCCGGGAGCATGTTGTTTTTGCATGATTTTTAATTTATTTTCCTTTTTTTCTTCTCGGGCTTAAACCGTACTGGCGACAGATAAAGGGATAAAAAATGTCTGTGATACGGCTTCCGAAGAACGAGCTTGATGCTCAAATTTACCGCTACCTTCAGGAGGCGAACTACGCAGACGCAGCAGAGGCTTTGAAGTTGGCCAATTCAGCCGTCGTTTCGGCAGCTCGAAGGCTTAAGTTTTCGGCACTCATTGCCGCCAAAAATCATATTAATGAGGATTCCGACAGCGACGACGAGCCGGTGCGCAAGCCCAGCAAGCCATCACCCAAGGCTGCTCCCAAAAAGGCCATTGCCGACTCTGACAGCGACGACGAGCCGGTGCGCAAGCCCAGCAAGCCATCACCCAAGGCTGCTCCCAAAAAGGCCATTGCCGACTCTGACAGCGACGACGAGCCGGTGCGCAAGCCCAGCAAGCCATCACCCAAGGCTGCTCCCAAAAAGGCCATTGCCGACTCTGACAGCGACGACGAGCCGGTGCGCAAGCCCAGCAAGCCATCACCCAAGGCTGCTCCCAAAAAGGCCATGGCCGACTCCGACAGCGACGACGAGCCGGTGCGCAAGCCTAGCAAGCCATCACCCAAGGCTGCTCCCAAAAAGGCCATGGCCGATTCCGACAGCGACGACGAGCCGGTGCGCAAGCCTAGCAAGCCATCACCCAAGGCTGCTCCCAAAAAGGCCATTGCCGACTCTGACAGCGACGACGAGCCGGTGCGCAAGCCCAGCAAGCCATCACCCAAGGCTGCTCCCAAAAAGGCCATGGCCGACTCCGACAGCGACGACGAGCCGGTGCGCAAGCCTAGCAAGCCATCACCCAAGGCTGCTCCCAAAAAGGCCATTGCCGACTCCGACAGCGACGACGAGTCGGTGCATGCTTCTAAACGCGCTAGTCGTGGTGAAGAAGAGGAGGATGAACCTGTGAAGAAGGTGAGTCGTGTCGAAAATAGGGAGGAAAATGGATACAATGGTTTTGGTAACCGTGGTGGCCGTGGTTTCGGTGATCGTGGTGGCCGTGGCTTTGGTGATCGTGGTGGCCGTGGTTTCGGTGATCGTGGTGACCGTGGCTTCGGTGATCGTGGTGACCGTGGTTTCGGTGATCGTGGTGGCCGTGGTTTCGGTGATCGTGGTGGCCGTGGTTTCGGTGATCGTGGTGATCGTGGTGACCGTGGCTTTGGTAACCGTGGTGGCCGTGGCTTTGGTGATCGTGGTGACCGTGGCTTCGGTGATCGTGGTGACCGTGGTTTCGGTGATCGTGGTGGCCGTGGTTTCGGTGATCGTGGTGATCGTGGTGACCGTGGTTTCGGCGATCGTGGTGGCCGTGGTTTCGGTGATCGTGGTGATCGTGGTGGCCGTGGTTTCGGTGATCGTGGTGATCGTGGTGGCCGTGGTTTCGGCGATCGTGGTGGCCGTGGTTTCGGTGATCGTGGTGGCCGTGGCTTCGGTGATCGTGGTGGCCGTGGTTTCGGTGATCGTGGTGACCGTGGTTTCGGTGATCGTGGTGGCCGTGGTTTCGGTGATCGTGGTGGCCGTGGTTTCGGCGATCGTGGTGGCCGTGGCTTTGGGCGTTTTACTCCAAATCTTGATAACAATCGTGAAAGCACTAAGTTTGAAGACAGCGAATAGGCAATTAACTACGATAACAAATCCCTATGGTCATAATTAAATGAGAATTAAGGTCTAACTTTAGGAAAACGAAAATAGTTTTTTGTAAAACCGGGTGAATATGAATTTAATATTACTTAACGACGCTGAACCACGCTTTCACTTCACTAAAAAAGAATTTAATGTATTCTACATACCGCTATTTGTTGCATAATTTTATTTTTAGTTGTCATTATTCGTTTTCCTCCTTTTTGCATTTTGGTGTAGTGAGGATTAAGAACGTTTTGAGTGGTGATGGCACATCGTCATTTATAAAGGGGTTTTTTTCCCCTGTGGGCTGGTCGCTCCCAAGCATGTCAGGTGACGTTCCTTTTGAGGGCTATTGGCTTTCTACGATAACTCAGGGTACTTGAGTGTGTTTCCATGGCAATGCAGTTGAAATCTCCATGAGATCGAGCACAAATACTTTTTCATTTCGCTTTTTGGTTTGAATGCGTTCCTTATTTGATCAAATTGGATACCCAATGGAGTTTGTGGGGTTTCTTGAATCTGAGGATGCATGAAAAAGAGGTGGAAGAGGATGGCAGAGTGTCACCTCTAAGGAAGGAAGAACTGAGAGATTCTTCCAGCGTGGAGATTGTAGCTGATTTGAAAAATATTTTTCACGAAGGGTTGCTAAAGAGCTGTGCTTTTTTTGGGTAGAATGGCGTCAAGCAAGGGTTCAGAATATTGTGAAAACTTACTCCCCTGAAAAGAACAAATCACCACATAAAAGTGACCATATTATATATATATATAGGGGTTCTTTCTCTTAGCGGTGCGTCTGCTGAAGTGAAGTTGTTGTTGTATCTATTTTTTTAACCTATTTCCTTCTCTTTTCTTTTCTTTTCTTTTTTTTTTTTTTTTTTGGTTTATTTCTCATTTAAATTTCTGTGCTGATATAGATCTTGACATCTATGTCTTCAAAAAGAGGCATGCCTGGACCCAGCACAAGAGGCCGTCCCACTGTGTTGCATGGAGCAGGGGCACTGGATGGTGATCCCTTTGACATTTCAGGCGCAGGGTGGGCGAGTCTCGAAAATAAGTTTAATGAACTACTCCGCTTGATGGACGCGCCGGCCAATGGGATAAATGCATTGGCAGCCCGTTCCGCCCACGGCGATCGTGTAGCTAGTGTCATTGTCCAATTGCTGGACCGAGCCCAGGAGGAGAGCCGCAGGCTTCTGGTGGAGGGGGACGGCGAGGGGGCAGCTGAGGCAGGTGTCAAAACGCTGCGTTTAAAGGAACGGTTTTACGGAAGAACAAGTGTGAAGCTACTTCCAGCCTACTTTCACCTGGCGCGCACCAACCAGTTTTTAGAACGTTATGGAAACGCGGAGGAAATGTTGTCACTTGCCCACTCTATTGTCCTTAACCACCCGCAGGACGTTGACACAGCAATGAAAGCGGAACTTCATCAGGCATTTGGGCTCTTGTACGCTGCTGATAATAAACTTGAAGCCGCTGTACAGCATTTGACAGCTGCCACGTACTATCTGAGCGTTATGAATGGACCGGAGAACATATTGACAGCCTTTGGGTATTTTGACCTGGCCAATGTGTTTGCGACAAAGGCAAGTATGGAAGGAGCAATGGCGCTTTACGACACGGTAAAGAACATTTGGTTGGAACACCTGCGAGGTCTCCTGAAGGCTATTGTGGAGGAAACCCTAGCAGCAAGGTCCGTCAAGCGCTACGAGGACGATGAGGTTGTGCAGGACACGGGATATTCCTCTGCGAAGGCCTTTGGAAAGGAAAATTTAGCCGACGTTTCTAAGATGTTGCATGCCATTTATAACATTCAGAAAGATCGCTTCACCACCTTGCACCCGACGACAGCACGAGCAGAGTTTGTGCTTGGCCTATTTCTTCTTTGGGTAAGTAAAAAAGGGGAGGCGGCGCATCATCTGCAAACGGCACGGGCGACGTCGCAACATTTCTACGGTGAGCGGCATCCAGTAGTACAGGAAATAGAAGAGTGGTGCGAGTGGTTTGAAATACCCTTGACGGAAAGCAAATAAGGGGAACAGAAGCCGTAGTAAATTTTTGTGTGTGTTTCTGTTTGTGCGTTGGTGGGTGTGAATATTTCCCCATTATGTAAATTTACCGTCAGGAAAACAGAAAATACCACACAATAACAAAAAAAAAAAAAAGAAGGTTTGCTTATTTTTGCTTTGTGTTCTACCAACGTTTTTTGTTTCATTAACTTCTTTGATGAGGAATTATCTTTTTTTTTTTTTTTTATTTGGCCGCCTTTATGCTTTTGTGATGTTCTCTCGCGTTGGGAGTACACAAGCTGCACTGGCCATATATATATATATATCTTCTCCAGTGAGCAATTCTTTTTTAGGTGTCTGTGAGTTTGCGCGGCGCGGCCTTCAAAAAAAAAAAAAAAAAAAAAAAAAACATGATTGATTTTTACACAGCAGAAGATGTGTTTTACGAGTTGTCCACCATCCGGGACCCAGAGAAACGGAGTTACACGCTGGCAGACTTGGGGGTTGTGGCGCAGGATCGCTGCAGCATTGAGTACGACCAGTATCATAGCTATTCCCTTGCTGGAGATGGTGGAAAAAGCGTGAGTGGCGCACCCACCCCAAAGCGAATAGCGGTGGTGACAGTCGTCTTGAAACCGACCGTGCAGCACTGCAGTCTTATGGCACTTATTTGTCTTTGTGTTTACGCCAAGTTGAAGGAGGCCCTCCCACCGTGGATGTGTGATTGGAAAATTGACATTAAATTAGTTGATGGCTCGCATCTGCAAAAGCGCGAACTAGAGAAGCAGATTTCGGACAAAGAAAGGGTGGCGGCGGCGCTGGAGAACGAGACGTTGATAATGGAAATGGATAGACTCATGAATCCGGATGTAGAATGATTCGTTTCTAAGGGAGCAAAGTTTAGGACTTGTTTACTTTCAGCGTACGTGTGCTTGTGTGTGTGTGTGTGTGTGTGTGTGTGTGTGTTGGGATTGGCCCCAGAGGGCTTTGGTTTGTTATTTGGTGATGTTGCAAGCGTGATTTACGCCTTCTCTCTTTCCTTTTCTTTCCTTTTTTTTTTTTTTTTGACCGGGGAATGTTGATGGAGATTTGAATTTCTTTGCGTTTCTGTGGACATACAGACATGTGCGCTGTTGGCGTTGAGTCTCCCACCTTCACTCTTATTTTGTTTTTCTTTTCTCCAATTTCTTTTCCTGTCGCCGGTGAGTAACACACGCAGCAGCAATTCACGATGTCACTCAACCAGTTACAGGATCTCCAGTTTCAACTGAAGTTTGTCGCGAAGCAGTTTGGGAAGAACTCCACGCGTTGTGAGAAGGAACAGAAACAGGAAATGCAGAAGTGCAAAAAGGCGATGGAAAAGGGGAACATGGACGGGGCCCGTATCTTTGCGCAGAACAGCATCCGTAAGAAGAACGAGGCACTTAACCATCTTCGCCTTGCGGCTCGCATGGACGCCGTTGTTTCACGGCTTGATACTGCCGTAAAGATGAAGATGGTAACGAAGGGAATGGGACAAATGGTGAGGGGAATGGACAAAGTTCTTCAGTCAATGAATCCGGAGGCCATCTCGGTCCTCATGGACAAGTTTGAGAAACAGTTTGAGACAATGGATGTCGCCTCGGAATACATGGAAAACGCGATTGGACAGACAACGGCCACTAGTATGCCGGAGGATGAGGTAAGCACACTCATGGCGCAGGTGGCGGATGAACACGGACTGGACATCAAACAGCACCTGGATGATAAGATTAGAATAAGCAAAACGAATCCCATGGCAGTGGAAACGGTGGATAGCGAAAAAGACGATCTGGAGGAGCAGTTTGCTCGACTTCGAGGGAAATAGTGATAGCGGTGACATTTTCTTTTCCTTCTTTTTTTTTTTCTATCTCTCTCTCTTTTCTCCTGTCCTTTGTGTTGTTGTGTACCCTTCTTTTTTCCATCTTTGTGCGTGTTTGTCTTGTGGGAGGAACTTTTTGGTTGTTTTCTTCTCTGCTGCCGCAACGACGCATAATTTTTGAGTCTTTTCTTAGTCGTGCTGTTTAATGTGTGCACGCTCCTTTATTTATCTGAGGGGACGTACATGTGTGCAGAAATTGTCTTATCCATGACATATTTTTGTTGTTGTTGATGTCGTTTGGTGGCTATGACTGGCTCTTCCTTTTGATAAAAAAACAAAAAAAAAAAAAAAAACAACCTTTTCTCTTGGTATCACATGTGACCACAGCCACTTATGCGGCCTTAGGTTGTTGCCACCACAGTATTTATAAGGAGGGCGAAGATAATATTTGATAACGTCATGCTAACGTTGAATCGTCTTGACAAGGAAATTTGTCAAGAACTTATCAGGAAGACTTACACTCTCCCAGATTCAGAGTTATAATGA